TTTAGGTTAGTCTTTCAGGTACAAGCTTGGTGGCTGGGTGGAGACTCCCCAGTACCAGGGGAGGAGACTCTGTGAAGGGGAAGTACTAAGTTCATGGTCTAGCTGATTGAGATGCTCATAGAGCATTCAGAGATGCCAAGAACAGTCCTGGCCTTGCAGAAGCTGCTGTTCTGTGTCCAATGTGGTACCCACTAGCTACCTGGGAGATGTGACTAGTACACAAACTCGTTACGTTACTTAATTGGAATTGGTTAAGCTTGTGGCTAAGGGCTGCCATGTTGGACCATGCATCTCTGGCAAAGCATTTGTTGAAAGTGTTGATCTGGGGATCCTGCTAGAGGGGGGTGGGGCGAGTGGCCTGCCTGACACCAGAGGTTTGCTAGGTTTGGAGGGCTAACACAGGCAGGTCTGGGGCAGCTGTGGTGGTTGTTGACAGACTCCAGTGGTGGTGTTGGGCAGCTTGTAGTTAGGAAGTTGGGATGTCAAGTTCCTGAGACAGCTGTGTCTGTCTACCTCCTTGCTTCCCGGGCTGGCGGGTGTTGTAGTTTGTGACTTAGGAAGAAACTGGCTGTTGTGGAATAGAATATTTGTTTAACTAAGTAAAGATGTGTCGCAGTTGTTTGTGCTGCAGGACAATTGTCTAGCTCTGTAAAGGCGTATTGCATTTGTTTACCTGTGTAAGGATGTTTTGCTGTTTCATCTTGTCTGCCTAAGGCACCTGATTGGTCCAACAATAAGCTGAACAGCCAATAGCTGAACGGCAGAGGAGGAATAGGTGGGGCTGGTGGGCAGAGAGGGAAAGGGAGCTGTCCAGCCTGCTGCAGAGGTCCAGTCAGCCAGACATGCAGGAAGCAGGCAAGCAGGACATACCGGAGGCAAAACGTAGATGAATAAAAGCAAGTTAAATTAAGTTATAAGGGCTCGTGGGACAGGCATAAGCTGAAGGCTGAGCACTCATAATTAGTAATAAGTCTCTGTGTCTTTATTTGGGAGCTGGTTGGTGACCCACAGAGAAAGCCTGCTGCACAGATGGCTTCCTTCAGCATTAGGGATTCAGATAATGGGAAATCAGTGTGGCTCTCGAAACACGTGCCCTTCCCAATATTTTACTTTTTGTCCTCCAACATCCTCCTCTTTCGTCTCATACTGTTTTGCGGTTTTTCCTCACACCGACTACACATTAGGGAACTCACTTCTACAGAAACAAAACAGTAAGGGTGATCAAACACCACTCTAGACTTGGTAAATCAGCCTGGAGTAGAAGAGGCACCCACTACGGAGAGGAGTCCAGGACCCTGTGATTGCCAAACTCTCCAGCTGACTCAAGTGTGCTTCTAGGATTGCAAAGTCTGGTTCTCCGGCATGCCTGCGCGTCCTTGCCAGGATTCATTGTGACAAATGGCTTTTTAGCACATCAGCTTGCTTCCCTACTCTTGCTCATTGGAGATAGTACTCTCCTGCTTTCCCAGATTTCTTCCAGTCAGCTATTTTTTTTTTCCAGGGAGAGGGGGGGAAGCGGTGGATAAAAGTAACCTTGAAAACCCAGGACATCGTTTTTGTTATTTGCTCAGGATCTGGCAAGCTTTGAAGTTTTGGTAGCAGTTACCATGGCCAACAACACCAGCATGTTAACTCATTTGCTCCCCAGGATAAGACTACCACACCCGTACCAGGAAGATGTGGTCCCGTGAGATGGGCTGACTTGCTCAGGGTCTCCCGGACAGTATGAGCTCATCTCATTACTGATCTGTCTGACACTGTGACATACATAAAGCTGGTAAACTGAGGTGTGAAGTCTTTCCAAGCTGCGCCTTTTCCTGTGGGAAGGAGCTAGTCACGTTTGTAGGAGGCATCGCCATACTTCTTGAGTGGCACACACTTACTTTAAATGTTTCAAAACTGCTGGCCAGTTCTGAAGCAGTAAAAGAATGCCCTCTGTGAAGCCTCTTCATGTGCTCATAAGAGAAGTAGCTGAGGGGGCCGGAGAGATGGCTCTGAGGTTCAGAGCCTTTCCTGCTGTTACAGAGGACCTGAGTTAGGTTTCCAGCACCCACCTCAGGTGACTCAGAACCACCCTGATTCTTACGCTAGGTGATCCAGTGCCCCCTTCTGGCCTCTGCAGGAAACTGCACAGACGCATACACATGATTTTCAAAAGTGAAGTACCTGAGAATAGAGGTCATTTCATTGATGATGATGGCTAGCAATACACCTGTACCAGGATGATACATATTCATATGTATGCATTTGAGTGTGTACATGAGTGTTGTTTTGGGAGTGAGCTTTGTTTCTCTAAACTTCAAAGAAATAGACATTTTTTTCTTCCCTTTTGTGCCTCATCCCCCTGCTACCCCTCCTACTCCCCCCTCCCCCAGGCTGTGACCAAGGTCATTATACTGTTTCTGTATTTTCCCTTAAGTAACTGTTTTGTTACAGTTGCACATAGTTATAAGAAAGCATCTTTTCTGTGGCTTCTATTAAAATATTATAGGTGAAGAGTTCTTAATTAATGCTTTAACAAAGAAGCCAGTAATTAGGAGTTTACCGTGTTTTGTCTGAGTCTATTGGAGTATAATGGAAGCATGGCGCGTTTTAGAAAAGCTTCCCAAGCCATTATTTGATGTCTTAAATAGAAAAAAAACAAATCTTATTTCTTAATGTCAATGCGAGATTATAATTTTATAAGCCATTACTGTTTATATGCATGTCTGCAAATTAGGTCACTAATAATAGTGTTAAATCAGTTTTGATTGTGTGTGTGCTTGTGTGTGTGTGTGTGTGTGTGCACATGCACGCCCCCCCACACATGCCAAAGTGTGTGTGTGGAAGTCAGAGGACAACTTGGGAGTCGGGTTTCTCCTTCCACCGTGTGGATGCTGGGAATTGAACTCAGGTTATCAGGCTTGGTCTGGTGGCTATGGGCCATCTCACTTGGCTCCAATTTTGATTTTTTTTTTTTAAGTTTCATCTATGGATACTTTAAAACTTTTTTAAGTTAAAAAAAAGTGTATGTATGATGTATATGTGTGTGGATACGGACACACATGGCAACCTTGTTTGAGATGGGCGCTCTTTTTTTTTGTTGTTGTTGTTTACCGCTGTGTGTGCCAGGCTGGCTGTCCCTCGAGTGACCAAGGGTGCTCCTGCCTCCACCTCCCGTCTCTCCATAGGAACGCTGCGTGGTTAGAGATGTACGCTGCTGTGCCCATCTTTGTGTGGGTCCTGGGGAATTCGAGCCTAATTCTTCAAGCTGCATGGCAAGCAGAGCCATCTGCCCAGCCCCCGCAGACACATTTAAGTGCTAAGTAATCTAAGTCAAAGCCCGTCAATAAAATGACTCTTATCCTTCATGGGTTTTTTTTTTTGTTTTTTGTTTTTTGTTTTTTGTTTTTGTTTTTTTTTTGTTTTTGATTTTTCGAGACAGGGTTTCTCTGTATTGTTTTGGAGGCTATCGGTCCAGCCCAGCCTCGAACTCACAGTGATCCGCCTGCCTCTGCCTCCCGAGTGCTGGGATTAAAGGCGTGCGCCAATCCTTCATGTTTTGAAGCTGTAATTAGGTAGACTAATGATGTTTGGGGCCCACGACCACCCGAGATAGCACCAATGCACACTTGGAAATCTCTTAGTTTTTTTGTTTGTTTCTATTAAAGGTGGCACATTCCGACGATTCTTCTGGATCCTAGGGCAATCTGGTCCGCGCACACGGTTGGATATGCGTGGTGGGCGCCCGATGATGAGGGGCCCCGGGTGCAGAGGGAGGGGCTTCGCCTTGCGCTTTACCAACGCTTTCCTGTTGACAACCGTGAATGTTTTCTCAAGGGCTCCGTCTTGGTGCCTCATGTTCAGAACTGTTTTGTGAGTGGTCTGATACTTGAAGACTGTCGTGGGCATGTGTGGCTTCTGTAAGTGTGTACCTTAGCGCTTATTTTGCAGGCCTTACACTGTGGTCAGAGCAGGTGCCCCCCCCCAGCTCTGTGGTCGCCAAAGCTCTTCCCCTCCTACCTGGTTAAGTGCTTGCTGCTGGGGTAGTCTCTCTGCCCTTGTGGGGAGCATACGTTTCTAGAGCTGACGACCAGGTTATGCGGATGTTCTCTTTTAGGTGGGAGGGAAGGCTGACCGGGGCCGTTGAGGCCAAGGGTGGCTCCTCCTGCCTCCGTTTTCCTATTGCTGGAATTACAGTCGTGTGTCACCATCCATGGTTCCCATCTGGAAAGCCATTCAAGTGGCTGGTCTCAGGCTTTTGCTTCTGTCTCTGGAAGTATTTGTAGGAGCAGGAAACTTCTTTCTTATTAGGAGAACCCAGCTACTCTTAGGTAAATCCCAATTGAAAATTATTTTTACAAAGGTGAGCACGCGGCCCCGCTTCCCTAGGTCTCAGTGACAGTCTTGTCCAGTGGCTGGTAAACTACGCTGGCCTCAGAGGCGCTGCCTCTCTGTTGTCTTAGGTGGTCGTCCCAAACTTCATAGGCTCAACTTCAAGGAGGACCAAAAATGGCATTTTTACTATAGTATGAACTTGGGGGGAGGGTCTGCATTCCTATCTTAGTGAAATGAAGGTGGCCAGTTCCTGGCCATGGCATGGCCACTGCCTGTCTTGCTTGGAAATGAGACATTCTCAGTCCAATGTCCATCCCATAAACCTTCAGCTCTGAATAAAGTAGACAAAAAAACAAAATGACATCACGTCGAGTGTGCAAGCCTGCTTTAATTTCTATCTGATTTCAGCACCCAGGTGGATAGTGTTGGCCGGAGCCTGAGCGCTCTCACAAGGCAAGTGCTGGGATCGCAGAGGATGACTTTCACGGCCACTCTGTCAGGGCTGTCTTCCTGGTGACTCAGGGGGAACTCTGCAGAGACTGGAAAGCAAAGGCCCTTTGGTGGTCTCTCCACTCTGCTGAGCTTCGGGAAGAGTTACTGGGGTCAGCTGAGTTCGCAGGTTTCCCCACAGTGAACTTTTTGAGATTTGTAACGTCGCTTTCTTTTCTTTTTTTCTCTTTTAGCAATAGGCGAATATGAAGACCTTCGAGCAGAGAACCAGAAAACAAAGGAGAAGGTTCGTACTGTACCCCTCCCCTTTCTTACAAGCCTGAACGCCTAGGCAGTATAATGCATTGTTCAGCCACCAATTTCAGTTAAATGTGAATGAGAGAGGGTTTTTTTCTTCTTCTTTTTCTCTTTTCTTTTTTCCTGCATGTGTGGTTCAAGCTAATATCAACTCCAGGCTCTCCCGATGGTAAGAATAGCAGGCATGCCACAGTAGGCACAGCCCTGGGAGATTAAGCACTCAGCTAAATGTGTAGCAAGGCACCAGGCCAAGCCACACAAGTTCCCAAGAACTGTGTGCTTTCTCCCAGTAGTCATGCTTGGGACGCGGGTGACGGACTCAAAGGCCGGAGACATTTGCTTCTAGGTCCCAGACTTCTTGGCTTCTGGAGGGGCCTAGGCTGTGTATTTAGTCAGCTATCTCTGCGTGCCTCTTTCGTGTTTGCTTCTGCTGTCTGCGAGTAATAAAAAGAGAAGTTGAAAATGCCCCGTGTGAGTACAGGGAATGGTGATGAATGTTTTTCACAGGATATGGAAGTTTTTCATGCTGAACTGTGAAATAAATGAATTCTGCTTGCTTTTGTAACCTGTGTCCTTCTTGTCTCTAAAAATGTTTACTTAAGGTCTGTGAGCGTTCCACGTATATGAGAGCTTCAGGACTATAATCCCGCCCACTTGAGAGGCTATGGCAGGAGGACTGCCAGGAGTTTGAGGCTAGCCCGGGCTGTAGTCTGAGATCCTGTATCAGAAAGCAAACAGAGATTTGTGACATGCACATGCTTTTATGTACACGTGTATTTTTTTCCCTCCTGTCAACCAAGGGGGAAAATAAAAAAATTTAAAAAAATTGAGGAGCTAGGTAGAAAATGGAAAATAGAAGAACAGGGACTGTGTACTTGTTTTAAAACATAAATGAATGTTACACATAGATTTTTTAAGTTACAGTCACTAAATAAAGTACTTTTATCAAATAAGATAGTCAAAACGTTTTTAAGTAAGAATGAGATGGTGACGCCTCATCTTCCTGATTTTAGAGCAAGGGTTATATATAACAACACTCAGAAGGCGACTAGCTTGCTATAAAAGTCTGTAGCATATTTGGATTTAAATTATTGAGCTCTTAAGAATCATATTAGAGGCCAGGTGTTGGTGGCACACGCCTTTAAGCCCCAGCACTCAGGAGGCAGAGGCAGGCGGATCTCTGTGAGTTTGAGGCCAGCCTGGTCTACAGAACAACTTCCAGGACAGGCTCCAAAGCAATACAGAGAAACCCTGTCTAGGAAAACCAAAGAGAGAGAGAGAGAGAGAGAGAGAGAGAGAGAGAGAGAGAGAGAGAGAGAGAGAGAGAGAGAGAGAGAGAGAGAGAATCATGTTAGACTTTTTTAATCATTAAATTTGCTGGCCACCTAGGCATAGTTTGACTAGTGGTAGTGGTAGTAATGGCAAGTGCTTTAGCTCAGACACAGTTACATCTGCTTTTTAAGATCATTATTTTAAATCTAGACTCTAAGGCGCTCCTGCTTTTAGCAGTATTTTTGTCTTGATCTTATGCCTCTTTGTACGTGTGTATGCGCATGTGAGTGCGGGTGCCCAAGGAGGCCAGCAGAGGAGTTCCTGGTGTTTGTAAGAAGACGCCTGGTGTGAGTGGGAACTGGGAGCTGAAGTAGGATCCTCTGTAAGAGCAGCAAGTGTCTTCAAGCACTGCACTATCTCTCTGGTCCCCACCCCCCCAGCCCCTCTACCACACACACACACACACACACACACACACACACACACACACACCTGCTTTGTGAATTCATCTTCGGTTTCTTTCCTCTCTCAGGCTACTACGGAGGGAATGGTAGATGGGGCTTATTTTTAAAGGCCCACGCGGACACATGTCTTTCTAAGGCAAGAAGGCCACAGATGATAGTTTGAAAAAAAGATTTTTTTTTTAGTTCGGTCCCTTTAGCCCCCCCCAAAACAGAAGTCCCAGGGATGTAAAGTAGTCAAGAGGAGGGTGTGAATCTCACGGTTTTAAAGTGAATTTCCTGGGGATGTTCAGGGTGGGCCGTTTGCTGCCCTTAGATCAGACTTCCAGGAGAAGGTCGATGGAGTCTACATTGCATCTGCTTTTGGGCTAACAGGGAGGGGAAGAGCCAAGCAGTTCGTGCAGGGAGGGCTTCGTGCAGGAGGATGGTTTAACCTCATCTAAATACGAGAGTTGAGCAAGCAGAGATGGCTCAGCAGGTTAAAACTCTTAAGTCTGATCACCGGGATCCACGGTAGACGGTAAGGCCTGCTCCCCCAAAATTGTCTTCTGATCCCCACCGTGGCACACACATGCACGTACACATACATGTGCTGTACACACATGGGTCACACACACATCATAAGTGAAAAGCACAGTTTAACTAAGAGAGGAGGTGAGATAGAATGCTTGTAAGTCTCCATGGGGCAGAGAAAGGGAAAGAAGGAAGACCCTACAGCAGAAGAGGGAGGAGACTGCAGGTTCTGTTCCGTTTTCTGTTTTCTTAATCCATGATTGTCCTTAGACCTGGAAATGCCCTTTAAAAAAAAAAAAGTGGTTCCGTAAACACCTGCTCTCCCTGTTGGCGTGGCCATAGTTGTTTAACTGAGAGCCACTTTCTTCTGTGGGGCTTGCAGTGAAGCTGTCTGTTGTGCGCACGGGATTATAGGTTGGTTAAAAGAAGGACTGGGAAGTGACCTCGGCCCAGTAAACTGTTTACCTCTCCTCCGAGCAGAAGATGGGCCCGACACATTTGCAGCATCTGTAGGCGTTATTGACCTGTTTCTGTCCTAATTCTTTAAAAAAAAGAAAAAACTATTAACAGGAACGAGAAGAAAAGGGACGAAAGCAATATGGAATACGGTGTGTGTGTGTGTAAAAACAAAGAAGCGTGAGTGGTTTTAGGTCTACCCCACTCTGTTTACCTTCTATTAAAAGACCGGCTTGCTTATTACTGCGGTTTTCTCCCCCCCCCCCCCAAGGTGGGGGTTGTCACAAAGGAGAGAAGCATATAATAAAAGCCTTTTATACGGCATAGAATGAGTAAAAGCAGCTTTAGTTCCGGAGGCAGCAAATGGAGGACACTGTGTGTTTTTGTGTGTGTGTGTGTGTGTGTTTTTTTTTTTTCTGGGAAAGCACTTTCTTGTGCCTGGCTGCCTGGGCTTTTTCCAGTTTGCACCAGCAAATGCGGGCAGCCATCTTTCCTCTGTGGGGTCTGAGCCTCAAGTTAAATTAAACCCATCGTGGGTAGTCATTGGGAGAATTCCTTCTTGTCACAGTTGGCTCAGTGTAGGGAAATTTGGCAAAATAGAGGGGGTTGGGGGATGGCAAGGTATTACTCCCGACTCGGTCTTCTGCAAGTTTATCTGTCCTTGTCGGCCAGGCCAGAGACCGTGGTGGGAAGAAACAGCGGATCTGGTTCCTCTGGATGGCTGCTGCAGTGTCCCTGTGGATGTAGGCTCTGCAGGTAGACAGGAACCAGAGTCTCTTTATTTAGAGGCTACTATGGGATATCTGTGCCCTCTTATCTCCATGACAAAGTGGTTCAGACTCTTTTAGCTTCATTTTACACAAGCAAACGGAAGGGCTTGCGATACAGCGAGTTTTCTGAGAACCCACAGGTGATTAGTGACTGAGTCTGGATCTAAGCCATGCTTTTTTAAAAAATAAATAAACAGGTAAACTTAAGAGTATATTGACTGTTTCCACAGAGAACCTAGTTTTATTTTAGTAAGTGTGTGTGTGTGTGCGCGAGCGTGCGTGTGTGTGTGTGTGTGTGTGTGTGTGTGTGTACACCTGTAAAGTAGGCATTTGCACATGCATGTGTGAGGAGGTCAGAGGGCAACCTCAGGTTCATACATCTGGTACTGTCACCTGTTTTTTTTGGTCTGAGACTTCTCTCGTTGGTTTTGAACTTCACCAAGCTGGCTAGGCTAGCAGGCCAACAAGCCCAGGAATCCACTAGGCTCTATCTCCTCGGTTCTGGAGTCACAGATGTATGCCACCATGCCCAGGTTTGTTTTTTTTTTTTAAATCTGGGTTCTGGGTATAAAACTCGGGTCCTCACATTTAGGGCAACAAGCACTTTCCTGACTGAACACCTCTCTGGCCATGTTTTTAATATTAATGTATGAATTTTCCTACAGCAAATTATCAGACCCAATACTTTTTTCTGGGTCATGACTATACCGTCAATTAGTTTGTATTGAAAAAACTGAAATTTAAGTATCAAATTAATCCTTTATTAGAAAAATTCACATATGTACGTGTAGATGTATAAATCCTGGCACCATGAACTCAAAGAATGGGAATAAAAGGTTTAGGGGTGGACCAATGGATTGTTGTGGCTGTGTCTGTCTGTCTGTCTGTCTGTCTATCTGTTTATTTACTTATCTGGTGTATGTGTATGTATGTATATGTATCTGAGTGTGTATGCCATAGCACATGTGTGGAGGTCAGACGATAACTCGATGGAGTCAGCTGGGGATCTCCTTCTACCATTTGGGCCCAGGGATCTAACTCAGGTCATCATCAGGCTAAGAGGCAAATTCCTCTACCCTACTGAGCCATCTCCCCAATTCTGAACTAGTGTTTTAAGTGTTTTTCTTTTCTTTTTTTTTCTTTGTAGCCATTTCGCCCATTCCAACAATGGGTGTTGGCCATTTTGTGGATTTTGTATAAGTCTTTGGAGGTGGCATCAGAGTCTGTTTGGGTTTGTAAGGAAAGCGATTGAAGGAAGACCCTTCGGCTGGATGCCTTCCGGTTACCAGCACATAAAGGAAAATCGATGAGGGTTTTTTTTTGTTTTTTGTTTTGTTTTTTTTGCCTTTTAGTAGAACCACTAGTGAGGGGGCCACCGACCAGCTGACACATAGCTGTGATTTTGTCATTGTTGTGTGACTCTCCACAGCTTGGGTGGGATGGGAAAAGACAAGCGGACACGACCCCCGCTTTTTCCCACGCGCAACTTTTAGTCTCTTTGAATAACAGATTTGAATGCCATTTATCTCCAAGCCTCCCTCCTCTAGCTCTCTTACAAGTAGAACCGGTTTTTTTTTTTGTTAGAAGCCATCTGTATATTCCTTTGTGCTTGTCACATCCATCAAGGGAATTTATTATTGTCTCGGCATTAAACAGGAAGGAAGCACGTTTTGTGGGCTCTAGCGAAACCCAAAAACCTCAAGACTGTTCGTGAATGTCTTCTGGTCTTTGGGCCTGAGGATAAGGGGTGACTCTGAAATGGCCTCTTCTCCCCCCCCCCCACTATTTTTGCCCATTTTCCAAATGGCATCGTAAGCAAGCAGTATGCAGGGTGGGGGAAGGCAGAGGCCCTATCACACTGGTGTTAACAAACTCTTCTAAATATGTATTTGGGGCATGCAAAATAGATGAGTGTGTACTTTGGGATCAGCCGAACAAAACATGCTTCTTTAGTGTGTGGCCATATTCAAATGCTAGTCATCCCGCTGCCACCAAAGGACCGTCTCTTGTAACTTGCTCGAAATCTTTGTCATAACCAATTCTGGTTGTTTTTTTTTCTTTTCCTTTCCTTTCCTATGGGGCTGGGGAGCCTCACTGAGCTTTGAATGGAATGGCATTCATATTTCTCAGGGAGTTGGTGATGTGTGTGTGTGTGCTCACGCACGCAGTATGTGTAAGAGAGAAGGAAATCTGTATAATAGAAGAATGTCTACCATTAAATAGTATTTATGTTTAATATTATGTTCAGAGATTGAGTTTTGAAATGCATAAATGTTTAAGTGGCTGATTAGGAGTCGTTTGGGTGAGCTACTGTCACAGTGCATCAGACAGTTCTGTCAGCCTGCCAGGAACAATGAATGAAAAGAGAGCCAGGCAGACACTTCCAAGACTTGCTTCAAGAAGCAAGATATATGATAGTGTTTGCATCTTGGCTCGGTTGTCTATTGTTACAATTCCATCCTCTCGTGTAATATTCAGAGGTGAAGGTCCCAAGTATATTATTTTTTTTTAAAAAATCAATAAAGACGCCACTCTGAAGAGCAAGATCTGCATCCATTATGCTAACTGTTCATGCATAATACATCCACGTACACGCAGCTTCTTTGAGATGGAGTGGCAAGTGGTTGTGCCAGAGAAAAAGTAATTACTTAGCAGTTTGAAAGTGAAAATGAGTCTCTCATTAACAGCAATCTATCCAGAAACAAAGAATGAGGGTCTCAGTTCTGATGACATGTGTTTCCATCTCGCGCACACAATACCTCGACTTTGGAGACTGCTGCAAGACAGCTTGGGTTTCGGGGGGTGGGGGGTGGGGTGGCGGCCACTCCTCCTTTATTGCCTGTGAAAATTGGAGGGAAAGAACTTTGAATTGGAAGAAAGAAGGAACTCTAGAAGAGGAGTGGAGCGAAGGGAGTTCGGTGTAGAGGGATGGTCAGATGCACTGAAGGATGACCCTGCACGCATCCAGAAAGCGCACAGGCCAGGCCAGGGAAGCCAGACTTACCTAGATGAAACAGGAGACTTGCCGGGGCCTCTCACTACCCCACCGAAGATTCTAAAACGGGCACCGATGCCTGGTTCTGGCGCTATAAAATTTCCATTTTAAAATAGCATGACTGGGATATAAGAGGAATGGACTTCTAAAAAAAAAAGATGGTATGGGTCTAAACCTTCCTGCTGGCAGTATAATTGCCCGAGTTCTGTCTCTACAAGTCTGCAGTCTTCCTGCCTTGTAGCTCATGTCCCTGGTCCTTATGTCCCTGCTCTTTTCATTGTTGGTGGGTCCTAACCTTTGTGAAACTACAGAACCCAGGTTGCTCCCTACCAGATCTCTGTCAGTGTTGAGCACAGTGCCTGACACTAGACCCAGTTCTTGACATCCATTGGTTCCAGGAGATAATTGCTCAGAATTCCACTTCAGTCAACGGTCATCTGATGTCTTCTATCCCTAAGGTGTGTGGAGACAGTGCGTGGACTCCAAACTGTCTTTTCTACTAGCTGACTGTTCTGTTGCATGTATGTGCCCAGAGGATATCAGCAGAAATCAGACACAGTTTAGAGTGTTGAGGTTTTTATTGCATAGATCACAGGCACAGTTGATTATAACTCTTGTCAGCCTCAGTACAGAGCGTCTACTGAACCCAGATAAAGAGACATTTATGCTGATAGTGTTGGCTCATAGGTAGCCGGGGGGCGTGTAAGGTGCCTGTTCACGCTGGAAGGACGTTCCTCTGCAGGCCGGCCGACCAGTGTTCTCAGATCCTGATTTGGCATCACAACCCAGGTGAGCTCTCACGGGCTGAGAGGAACCTTAATGAGGAAGTCTGGAAAGTCGCCTGGGTTTCTCGCACAGAGGGCCTCCCGTCATTCTACCACTCTCTAAAGAGTCAAAGCAGCGTCTGCAGACTAGCTGAAACATTATTCAGCCTGCTTAAAAGCAGCCAGCACTCAGGCCGCTGGGTTCAGCTCCAGCCCTGAGCTATAGAGAATTGCTGAGTGATGTCGTCCAAAGAACATCTGTTGCTATTACAAAGTTTCCATGAGCAATTCTCAGTACAAAAAGAGGCCGTCTTTACAGATGGTACAGCTGCATGAGCCCGGCAGAGGAGAGGGTAGGATGGATAGGGGCGTCTCCGTGGCACAAAGCAGAAACCCTGCTGCAGGGCCCTGTGCTCCCTGTAATGTCTCTGTGTCGGTAGATGGGGAGAAAGGTTGCAGGATGTTTCTGACTTCTCCTGGGATGATGTTGCAAATGGGCGTTTGCAGTCTTGCTCGGTACGCAATCAGTTCTGGTGTGGAATCAGTTTGCCGCGTGTGTAACCCCTCCTACCCTTTCAGCCTTTCAACATAGCAGATGGTAAATTCAGTGGCTGCCAGTTCCGTCATAATGCGGTTGCAGAAAATAGAAAGCAGCAAAGCAACACGAAGACCCCGAGAGAGAGCACAGCTGGGGTTGGGAGACAGCTTGTGACTGTGTGGACGACTAGAGGTTAGCATGTGCCGGACTCCAGAGAATCCTCTTTCCCTGCACCCTGGACTGAGATCTGTTATTAATCAGAGTGTCCACCTGTGTCCTAAGAGCAGTGAGCGTTGGCACCAGCTCTTCCCTCTGGATAGCTGGAACGGGCCTGCCTATGAAATAAGGCCATGCATTATTTCTGACCTGGAAATGGGAGACTTGGTGGTGGTTATAGTGCGTGAAGGTCTTTTCCATTCTGACTAGCGAAGGGTGCTGAGCCCCGATGCCTGTTTACATTCTTGTCAAGTTTCACTGAAAACGGGGCATGTAAGCAGGAGCTGGGTACACCTTCAGTTCCTTTAAACGGAGTTTTGAGAGGCACAATGGGAGACTCAAATGTCTTGAAGCTATGGTGTCACCCTGGAGCACCACCTTGTGATGAAGAATTGTCCCCCGAGGACCTTGAACTTGCAGAAAGGATAGATGGCGAAATGGAGACTCGGTGAGAAAGTAAACCCCCAGCCATGCTGCCCTGGGTGATCATGACTGGAGTCCTCTGGTTTCATCGGAAATTTGGGTTCTATTTATGTCTTCTGTCGTGCACTGTTGGAGCGGGGTGGGCAGCCTGGCAGGAGTCTGGGGAGGAGACCAGTTACAGAAAGTAAGAGGAACATTCCAGAAGCATCCAGCCGACAGCGTCACAGTTGCTGGTTGTGTGGCCTGTTGTTGCTCATTTGGGTGCGAGAAAAGTGATTCCAGAATCCATCTCTCTGAAGAGAACTTTCAGTACATTGACAGCAACAATTACTACTACTACTACTACTACTACTACTACTACTACTACTACTACTACTACAACAACAACAACAACAAGGGTAGCATATCTGTAAACTGGATCTAGGAACTCCGTGAGACAGGGGGATGGATTCCCAAAGGAAACCCTGAACAGCCTGTCCTCTGATGAGAAGATTCTTGGGTCCAGCCTGACTCACTCGTGGGGAGAGAGGGCTAAGCTAGATTCTCATGGATACCTTTACTGACTCAGCCCCATGCACCTGTTACATGTGCGGCGTCCCCTTCATGGGTGTATCCTGCGGATGGGGGTGTGGGGCGTGTGTGTTTCGAGCATGTGAGTGTGCAGGTGCCTAGATACCCACGTGGAGGAAGGAAGGGGAGAGTATCAGGTGTCATGCTCAGTCACTCTCCTCCAGCTCTCCCAATGTCTACTCATCTTCATCCTCCCATGCCTGGCTTTGGCACGGATGCTGAGAATTTGAACTCAGATCCTCAAGCTTGCCTAGCCAACACTCTTGTCTAACACCGAGCCATCTCCCTAGCCCAAGACAGGCTTTGACAGCTCAGTGGTTCTTTTGTGGGACAGGCCATATGTAGTCTCTTAAAGGAGGAATTCATTTCAACTCAAGGATAGTCAGTTGGTCTGTTACCAGGGAGATAAATGAGTTATGAATGACTACTTAGAAAGCCCTAGAAACTCAGCTGGGTAAAATGCATGCATCTCTTGCTCCATGAGTAGTGCTGGGGCTGTGGAAAGATTTTTTTAATTCATTTTAGTTTTAGTTATGTGTTTGCGTGTGCATCCTAATACAGTACTATGAGATGGCCAGAAGAGGCCACCAGGTTCCCCTCTGGAGCTAGAGTTAGTCACTTGTGATCTGCATGGCATGGGTGCTGGGAACTGAATTGGGGTCCTCTGAGAGCAGCATGCTCTCTCAGCTGCTGAGCTGTTTCCCAGCCCGCCCCCCAAAAGAGAAGTGCTGTTGCTGTGTGTAAGTTTATTTTTGTTTCTCGCCTTGCCATGGTTAAATTGTATCAGATGGATTTAACATTCCTTTCTCTTTTTCGTTTCAGTGTGACAGAATTAGGCAAGAACGAGACGAAGCTGTTAAAAAACTGGAGGAGTTTCAGAAAAGTATGTAAGCCTCTCTAGTAGAGTGGTAGCCACTTGGCTTTGGGGATTGCGTGAGTAGACCAAGATCAAGTTGACTGAAGGTGTACTGGCCATATCATCAAGAGAAAAAACTGTCCCATTTGGGAAAGAAAGAGCCAAAGCAATAGGATAAGCATCGGTAGTCTATGAACATCTTGTAAAAATTTAAGGTTGTGGCAAGAAAAGTTCGCTATGGGAAAAATCAAAGTAAAGCAAAATTCATCTGTTACTTAGACTCTCTTGAGAAAAGCCAAAGCCAGTATTTTATTTTCTGACCTATGTGGCCTTTCCTTTATGAAATATGTGTTTCTATAAAAAGTGCATGTTTTAGATTCAATTTTTATAGTCCCTTTTCAGTAAGCAGCATATCTTTGCGTGTCACTAGAAACATAGGTCGGTTCTAATTATTGTCTTTTCTAGTCTGTAGTATACAATACACACATAAGCATACAGACAATGTAAAATCCTTTCCCTTTCCCTATGGTTTAAGGGCCAACCAACCCTTGCACAGTTTTGTGCAGTTTGTCTTATACACATTATTAGCAACTGTATATAATACATCATCTATATAGTAATATGGTGCTATGACTTTGTTCTCTCATCACTGTTTCTATTCTGAGACAGTTTCCCTGTGTGACAGCCCTGGCTATTCTGGAACGTGCTTTGTAGACTCACATATTTGCCTCTGCCTCCTTAGTGCTAGAATCTAAGGCTTATGCTACCAACACCTCGATGGTTATTTTTGTTTTTTTTGTTTTGTTTTGTTTTTTGAGACAGGGTTTCTCTGTATAGATTTTGGAGCCTTCCCTGGAGCTAGCTCTTGTAGACCAGGCTGGTATCGGAACTCACAGCGATCTGCCTGCCTCTGCCTCTCGAGTGCTGGGATTAAAGACGTGCGCCGCCACCACCACCCTGATGATTGTTTTTGGTTTTTAAAGTACTACCGAAAATGCCTGGCAGATACTCATGCGTTTATAAAATCTGATTAGTTTCTTAGGTTAGTTCAAGGAAAAGGAATTGTGACAGGGATTTATGCAGATTTGGGTACATAGCTACCAAACTTCATTGCATATTCATCAATGTACTCTAACAGGAGAGATCTTGTTTCAGGTGTTCTAAATACAGGGTGGAGATGCAGTTGGGTAGTATATAGCCCATGCCTAGCACATGTGAGGAAGGCCTGGTGTGAGTCCCAGCACTTCAAGTCAATCAGTTCCCATCAGTCAACCAATCTGTGGAGGAGCCTTTAGGAGGCAATGAGTATGTCCTTGGCCTCCATGGTGGCAATGGTTTCACAAAGGAATGTTTATCCCCCACTGATTGAACTGTGTATATTAATTATATAAACTACTTACATATCACTTAGACTTCAGTAAAATGGTTAAGAGCAAAGAGCAGTTACCGTTTTCAGGAGTTGGAGTGTCCGAAATCACTCTCATTAAGTTGTGTCTTTAGAAAAGCAACAGCAATTTTCTTCCAAATTTTTACTGTTTTTTTTCCTAATGTGACACGAATCTGTTATTTATCTGCAAAGTAAGATCATATCTGATCAGATCCAAAAGTGTCATATGGGAATATGTCATGGGCAAAGAACCAGACATTGAAAGAAAATAATCCTCTCCCTTGTAAGCTGGGCCTTTCTAGATCATCCTGCAGAAATTCTGAAGCCAGGTAGCGGGTATCGACAGAGTCAGCGCTCTCCAGAAGACATTTTACCCTTCTCAAAAATGAAACAACTGTAAGACGCAATAGTTAAACTCCAGCAGCTGGATTGTTTCCTCGTCTGACTACAGCAAAGGCCATCACAGGGCAGTCTTGTGGAGGACAACAGTCTGTGACAGAAACACCGCTTTGTCTGTGGATACATGAACAGCAGTTGCATTGAGCGTCCTCACCCTCTCATGCAGGACCGATGAATGTGCTTGGGAAGAGCCAGCCCACGGGTACTGTGACTAGTTAGTGTGCTTGAATTATTGATGGTGGAGCGTTGTGCTGTGTGCAGTGGACTGGTTAGGGTTTCTTATGGTTCAGTTTACCCGCAGCGAGTTTTGATACGGGGAGGTGGTAGGGAGTTGCCTCCTGTGTTCAGTAAGAATGGAAACAACTTTGTCACGTTGCTTTTTCAACTGCCATGCCCCTTCAAGAGTGGCTTTTCCTCTGAATATGCTGACCGTTCTACGAGAACTCAGATGAGGACCTGAAAGGACTCATTGAAATGCTAACACAATTGTCGCTCTTGCTAGAGGTGTTTAATTTTTACTTTTATTAAGCCTGGTTGGTTAAAGTCCGAATGGCAGGAAGTTCAGATTGTGAATTCTTCAAAGATTATTTTTTTGTACACTAATTGTGAGTGTACACACGTGGAGGTCGGAAGACAGCCTGTGGGTGTCAGTTCTCTGTACCTTGTGGGTTCTAGTGATCAAACTCAGGTCATCAGGATCGGGTGACAAGCTCCTCTACCTGTTTAACCATCCTCCTGACACCAAATGTGAATTTTTTTTCTCGTTTTTTTTTTTTTTTTTTTTTTTAAGACAGGGTTTCTTGATGGTTCCAGACATTGTAGTCCAGGCCAGCCTTGAATTCACAGAGTTCCTGCCTCTTCTTCCCGAGCACTGGCATCAAAGACATGCGCTACCACCACCCAGCCAAATGTGAACTCTTCACTCAGTCTTAAAGAGAGGGGATGGGAATAGTGGAGTTTTATTTCTGAGACCTAGGGATGTGTCTCGGCATCTCACTCTAGGCAAGTAGAGTGCTTGCCTAGCTCAGGTGTAGGTCTGGTTCTCTAGTGCCATGCAAAAAAAAAACGAGGCGTGGTGGTGTAATGCCTGCAATCTCAGCACCCAGGAAGGCAGAAGGACCAGAAGTTCAAGGTCATCTTTGAGTATTTGATAGAATTTCAAGACTCTACCTCAAAACAAAACAAAAACACAAAAAAAAAACGAAGAGGATTTTATTTCTTTAAAAGCTAAACTTGAGATAATAGTTCACGGCTTTGAACAGAGGATAGAATTTGAGCTCTGGAAGAGAGCACTGCTGTGGTTCTACTGGGCATGAACCCACGTAGCCTTGGAAGACTTTCTGCATTAGTAAATTTGGGGTGAATTGCCTTGCTTCTTTAGGCTGTTTGAGGACAAAATGAGAAAACATGCATGAGAGAGCTTACCCTGGGTGGTGATGAACCACGTCTTTAATCCCAGCACTAGGGAGGCAGAGGCCAGCCTGGTCTACAGAGCGAGTTCCAGGACAACCAGGTCTGCACAGGGAAAGCCTGTCTCAAAAGAAACGAAACAAGCAAACAACAGAAGAAAAGAGCTCACCCCTGTGAGCTAGGATTCAGTAAGTACTCAATAAATGCTGCTTGCTGCCACGGCCACTCGGCCCCGGAAGCCATCAGGCTGCCAGATGAGGTCCTGTTGTCAACCCCGAGAAGGAACGTGGAGCTTCTGCGTCTCTATGGATCTGATCGACCGCTCTGAGATCTCCACCAGGTCTACCTCTCAAGATGTGGGAAGATCTGCCGACCGAGGCTTAAGCGAGGGCTCTGCCTGGGCTCAGGCCTTGCTTAGCCCAGCTTGGCTTTCCTTTCCTAGGGTGAATGTAACTCTGGCCATGGCTCCATGCCGTCCTTGGCCCTCTGCCAGCTCTCCCACACAAAGAGGGAAGATGTGTGCCCATAGTAAAGTCCCTTCATGTGCTTGAGGCTCCGGTGGTAGACCCTGGGCTATGATTAAGGTTGCACATGTTTTCCTGCGTAAGTGCCTGGTTGGTTCTTTTTGTGCCACACGAGAGCCTGTCTGGGAAGCCAAGCCATTTGGGAGAATGCTTGGCTTGTATGTAGGAGACCCTGGGTTTGATCCTGAGAACCATATGACTCAGGTGTGTGTATATGTATAATCTAAGCATTCAGGAGAAGGAAGCAGCTACATCAGACGTGTAAGTTCGTCTTTGGCTACACAGTGAGTCTGAGACCCTAATCTCAAAACAAAATGGAACAGCATCACCACCAACAGCAAAACCCCACAGCTAATAGCAGCAGCAACAACGAGCATCTTTTAGACAGTCTAGTCTTGAAGAAAAGAGTGTTGTGTTCAGGGCCTGTGCTTCAAAGAGCCTGTGGGTTGCCCTATTGTGAGAGGTGGTGCATGGAAAGGACTTGCTGAAGCAACAAGATCTTTGGAGTCGACAGCCTCAACTGTAAGAAGCTTTTAAAAGGCCATGGAAAACCAGAGTGTCCCTAGAATGAGTTTATCTGGGCCTCATCATCAGAGCTGCACTTGGAAAGGGTTACTTTACCTCTGGGTCCCGGTGTTCTCAGATAAAATGAATGCCAGGACAGCATCTACTTTACAGGAATGTTTCTGAGAACTCATGGGAACACACATCTTAGGACAAAGCTAGACACAGCCAGGCTCGGTGAACGATAAGCAGTTCTGTAGCAGACATGGTATACGTCTCAGCTTTCCAAACCAAAGGACCTTCTTTGTGGGTAGTGTTGTTCTAAATGCAAGAGACCCAGACACACATGAACTGAAATCCATGTGTTACAACTGTGTGTGGTGGCACGGGCCTGCAATTCCACCACTCACAAGCAGAGACAAGAGGTCTATGGGGCAAAATTCTAGGGCTTTGTAAAATAAATAAATAAATAAATAAATAAATAAATAAATAAATAAAATCCTGCCTTAATAAAGCACTTTTTTTTGTAGAAGGCAAAAAAATTGTTTAGTGGATACCCAAACCCTACAATGTGATGTGTGTTCTCTGGTGCCTACACACATACACATACACACACACACACACACACACACACACACACACACACACACATATATACATATATATATATGAGTGCAGTATTTTGAAGCCATAGATGAAGAGACACAAACTTTGCTAATTCAACTAGACTGTTAGAAATTAAGCCAATAGACTTTTATTATGCATGTGAGTTCCTGCAGCCTTAGTTTTATTGAATTTCATTCTATATTTTTGAGGCGAGGTCTCATGTATCTCAGTCTGACCTTGAACTCCTTGAAGATAATGACCTTGAACTTGTGATCTTTCTGTCTCCACCTAGTAGGAGACAGGATTACAGTCACATACCACTTCCCCCAGCATGCACAGTGCTGGATGCTGGAGGTGGGATCCAGGGCTTGCTGTGCAATGGGCAGTCTCTCTATCCACAGAGCAACGTCCCCAGCCTTTAAAGGTTTTTCTTATTAGAAAAATTAGAAGACAGATAGTACCATGAACCCCTCCGGTATCCACAATCCAGCACTTATCAACTCGAGTCCTTATTGCTCACATTTGCCTGGCTGAGTGCATGAAAATGAAGCTAATGTTAGTCTTCGTATTGCTGTAAAATTTACTGTGATGAATATTTGATTGTGTATTTTTGTTTGTTTCTGAAGCACAACTACAGTCTTAGGGCCCCTTTCTTATCTATCTATCTATCTATCTATCTATCTATCTATCCTCCTTTCTTTCTTTCTCTCTCTCTCTCTTTCTTTCTTTCTTTCTTTCTTTGTTGTTGCTGTTTTTCAGAGACAGGCTCTCCCTATGTAGTCCTAGCTGGCCTGGAACATACTGTATAGACCAAGCTGGCCTCAAACTCAGAGATCTGCCTGCATCTACCTCCTGAGTGCTGGAGTTGAAGGTATACATCACTGTGCCCTGCTAGTCTGCTTTTTCTTTGTTAAACATTGCTTCATACAAAATGAAATATCATAGGTAAAGCATCCAGCAGTCATAGATATGAGAAAAGTCCCAAATGTTTTTTTTTTAACTTGTATTCTTTGAAACGAACTAATAAGGCCAGGCCAGATTGCTCAGCAGATAAAGGTGCTTCGACTCCGAGCCCAAAGACCTGAGTTCAGTCTCCAGGACCTAGATGATAGACGTAGAGAACCAACTCCAGCAGGTTGTCCTCTGACCTCCACAGTGCACGGTGGTTGCACACACACACACACACACATACACACACACGCACACATACACACACACACGCACACACACACACACACGCACACACACACACACACGCACACACACACATGCATGCATACCCATACATGCATACATATATCAAAATAAGAACAGAAGGGGCGAATACATTCATACTTTGGAACTAGTTTTGTTTTCCATCGTGTGGCCTGACTTTTTGGATCTGGAAATGATGCCCTCCATTTAACAGATGTAAATGGCCCTTAGTCTTCTGAGCCCAGGGAGTTGATAAGTGGATCTCCATGCCATTAGTTTGCACTGGGTTGAGTTTCTGAAACCAAAAGACACAGCACAGTTTAAACATGTTCTGCCGTCTTCCTTCCCGAGAGAGATACCCCTCCCCCACCAGAGTGTACTCCCCGTCTGAAGAAGCAGGTTAAACCACAGGACATCTTTTTACAAAATGTTCAGAAAATAAGGACTCCTCCTCCTTATTCTTCTTTGCTGGGCCTAAGCCTCTCGACTGCAGAATGGTTCCCCCCCACCTTACTTTCATGAGCAAGAATGTTATTGAATAAAAAGTCAAATTCCTATGAAAAATGTAGAGTGTTTATGTTTTTGTTATGAGAGTAGAAATACCAGATTGTGGCAGAAGATGTCAAGTAGTTAAGGCTAAAAAAAAATTCAAAGTAATATTTGATGTTGTAAAAATTGTATAGGTTTCTTTTCTCTTTCCTTCACATTTTTGAAGAACCTACCTTGTAAACATAGTGATAAAATGCCAGGAATATTAGGATTTTAAGGAAATAATAGAGCCTATTATTTAAACTACAATATAAAAGGCAATTACATTGATGAAGAGCTACATGGGCTTTGTGTGTGTGAATAAACTTGGCCCGTGTTCAGCTTCTATTTGTTTCTCTGGTATAAACACATATTGTGTGTGATTCCAGTTTAATGGGGACCCGTTTGTATGCCAAGCAGCTGCATTTTAGGACCTATTGCGTGATTTCATAGCTCTCTGAAAATTGGTTCTATTCAGGACAGGAGATAGAAGAGGACAAGGGGGGGTGGCGGGTTGGGGGGGGGAGCCTCAACACACAATCATTTCTTTTCAATTGGAGCCAGAAAGGTTGATGACAACATGACCATTGTGTTATAATGATAAGACCGCTAAGGCCTCTGTACCTCTCATCACAGCTTTTCACTCCACAGCAGATACAATTTAATTCACTGCTCCGTCAGCAGTGCTGACACCATTATGCCGTCTGTCTCCACAGTTATAATCACTGTCCTCTGAGAAATGCAGTTGAAATGATCTTGAGCAGTCAAAGAAACTCTCAATTAGGGCTGCCACTTCCAATGTGTCAGATTGTGTCTTATGCACTTGGTACAATTTTCACTTCCAATCCTGTTTATTTACAATGTCTACCAGTAATTACGCTTAACGTGTCATTTAGTGAGGGGGGCCCCTGCCAAGCCGATTGTTGGGTGCTGCAGTACCATTGAGTGGGAGTTTCTCGAAGTCAATGCCATCAGCAGCTTTTAGGCCCTGATGGGATGCGGTAGTAGCGTTGATAATGCAAGTATCGCGCTCATCAAGTCATAATTAGATGCCACTCAAATGTGCCACTTGTAATAACAGTGTTGATTCATGTTTTTCTCGGTGACTGCAACTACTAATTAGTTAAGTGGTTTTTGGTTGGCCCGCATTTGCAACAGATTATTACCCCTGAAAAAATGTCAAGGTTAGAGATGTTTCTGGCCATTTAGTTCTGCTTTATGAATTTGAATATTAACATAATAAGAACTTTGGATAGACTTAGGAAGTAATACAGTTTTTTTTGTATTTAATTTAGAAAGAAAAAATTTTCCCCCAGAGTTTAATCATAATTGCAGGTTAATTAAGCTTAAATGAAGCAAAAGTAATCTGTCTTTGTGTTATATGAGCCCAGGGCTTCTTGCTAACTTTGTTGGGTTTCACATTTGGGTGTCCTTTAATTTTTCCTTTCCTTGTGCTAAACAAATGGAAGTCAGTTACAAATGTAGAGTCAGGGTTGAGATTCTGAGGACTTTCTTTTTTCTTCTGACTAGAAATGTGGGTGGGAAAAATTCACATTTTTTTTTCCTTGCTTAATCTTCAAAATATCATTCCAGGTCTGAATTAGCATGTCTTTAAATCTAAATTTACATAAAGTAGCTACCCCCCCCAAATCTAAAGGTTAAAAAATTTTTCAAGTGTTGATAAAATACCAAATAAAATTTGGTTTTTCTTCTTCTCCTAATGGTATCTTATTGTGCAATAGACAATTTGTGAGCACCTGTTTTCTCGTCCGGCAGCTTGTAAATCTTGGTGCCACACTTTCCTTACCTGGAGTAGAGGAAGTAACAGGAACCTAGTTTGCCGTTACTGAAGGAGGAGTATCCCAACTCTTAGCCAGTCATCCACATTGTCAGGCAGCCAGCCACAAGATCAGCTTAGGGTTTATTTCCCCTTTATTTCTCATGAGCTCATTCTCCATATTAGATCCACAAGTTATGTCTGGGCTGATCTAAAGCTGCTGCAGTGTCACTTCCCATTTATGGAAGCTTGTTTACTTACTGTGTGTCTGTTGTCATGGAGACAGCAACACAAGAAACACTTTATGGGCAGGAGAGCCAGCTCAGTTGCAAAGCATGAGTACCCTAGTCTGATTCCCAGCACCGTGCAAAAAAAAAGAAAAAAAAAAGAAAAAAAAAAAAGCTAGGTGTGGTGGTATGTGCTTGTAATCTCCGCACTCAGGAGGCAGAGACAAGTGGACTAGTCAGAGAACTTAGCTGAATTAGCAAATCCCAGGGTGGTGGAGACCCTGCTTTTTGAAAACAAGATGGATAACTTTTGAAGAATGACTCCCAAGGTTGACATGTGGCTTCCACATGCACACACATGTTTGCACACACACACACACACACACACACACACACACAAACACGAGAGACAAAGGCCTCTAAAATATTGCATTTGTAACCAACCATCCAGAAGGTTCGTACTTTGCGCTTTCCTTTCTGCATACACACAATAGATGAGATTTAATCAAAGGCAGCTTCTGAGGAATTTTTAGTCATGGCCAAAGGTCTAGCTGTAGGAAGAATCGAAACATTCTTGGTCATGGGGCTGTGTGTGGGCTTCTGGAACAGTTGACGAATCCTTGAATGCTGAGCCTTTCCCCTCTTCATTCCTAGTTTCTCACATGGTTATAGAGGAAGTGAATTTCATGCAGAACCATCTTGAGATAGAGAAGACGTGTCGAGAGAGTGCTGAAGCCTTGGCAACGAAGGTGAGTCTGTGCAAGCCAGGGGGTTGTGCCTGGGCTTCTGTGTTCCAACTAGATTTTCTAAGTCTCTTTGTTTCTAATTCTCTGCCCACTTGTCTGCTCTTGAGAAGGAGAGGTAAGGTCCCAAACCCTGGAGTATGATTCTGTAAGCATCTGCCTACATTTCTGGTTATAAAAGCAGACTTGTGTGTGTACATGTGTATGTGTGCACGTGTTTTGTTTATGTGTGTGTCTTATGTATGTGTATATGTGGTGTGTGTGTTTGTGTGTGTGTGTGTGTGTGTGTGTGTTCTCAGCATTGTGCCCATTTGACCTGGGAGAAGTAGTCCTTGGGGCAGACTGTTGGGATAGACTTTCCCACCGTCTAGCGTGTGGCTGAGGCTGACCTGGTGTCTCGCACACACAGCACTGAGCATTTTCTGCTGGCTTCTGATGAAAGACTCAGCCCGAGCCTTACATTTCAGGTGGTTATTTGTGAAAGCAGAGGGAGGGCACGTGGAAGGTGACCTCCATCACGCCACTGATTGCCTCTAGCTGATGATTTTTACCAAGTCTGTAATTTTCTATATTCTGTCTCATCAGAATTACATTATTATTAAAGAATGTTTTTATCCCTGTCTTATGTATTTTGGGTAAAAAAGCGTCCATCAGAAAATGGATTACAGCAATTTCCAACCAAATTTCATCACTAATGCCAGTTGTGTGCCCTCCCCCCCACTCCCATACCACTCACCTCCGAAGTATCTCTTCGGATGTGACTGAAGTCCCACTATTGATAAATAGATAAATAAATACTTAATTTGTATGCATTAGCGGTGTGCTTGCTAAAGGCATCTGCCTAATTGTTTGCATAATGACACTGCACTGGGATTCATAAGATACCAAGTAAGAGCTTAACTAGGAACGTGAAGTTCCCCGTATAACTCCTTTCCTGTTACTTGTCTAACAGGTCGGGCGCTTTGGAAACACCGATAGAGCGGGCTGGCTTGCATTGCTTTCTCTCTCCAGCACACCCCAATTTTTCGGTCCACGATACCAGACGCCCCATTTATCCATTTTATTACTTCTGGGATGAGCGGAGAAGCAATGTATTTGTGGACCAGGTTGGGTTTTTCTGCATCTTCTTAGTGCCCAGGGGTGTCTCTGTGTTTCTCTACATTCAGATGAATACATTCCTGCCCCTTAGGACTGGCAGAGTGTATGGAAAGCGGGAGCTTCGGGCCAGCTGATGCACGCTTGTCTTATGTCTAGCTGCATCGTTTGGGACCCGTGTGACTCAGCCATCTGGTGCTGCTCTCTGGTCACCTCATCTAGATGACAAGGTGGACAGTGTTTACAGCAGAGAATGGTGTGTGTATGTGTTTGGGGGAGTGTGACATCTTCATGATGCTCTGTAACTGTTGGTCCAAACGCAGACTTCTTTGAACATTATTTTACCTCTGCTCCTCTTTTGTGTGTGTGTGTGTGTGTGTGTGTGTGTGTGTACATGTGTCTGTAGCTCAGGGGTCACCTCAACTTTGGGCATCTTCCTCTATCACTTTCAACCTAACGTTTAGAAACAGGGTCTCTCGCTGGACTTGGAGCATGCCATTTTAGCGAGGCTGGCTGGCTGGGAAGTCCTGGGACCTCTCTGCCTCCATCTCCCCAGCTCTGGGCTCAGTCACATTCCCGCTCCACCTGGTGTTTTACACAGGCGCCCGTCTTCCCAGGTGCCTTTCTTGTTTTAAAAAGTGACTTTGGTGAAAGAATTTGTTCCCTTGAGCTCTAATGGTCTTGCTTTAAGCAACCGGGGTTTTCTTAAGATTACTCCATAGCCGTGGTGTGGTGTGGGCATTAGTATGTTGCAAATCTGCCCAGTATGGGTGGTTTAATGCCTGTCCATTGGTCACTCGGCTCTCTGTCCCCTAAGCTTATTCTTATAATGGGCCCCTGAGTGCAGGGCATTTGTTTCCTGATTTATAGGAAGTCTTTTGCAAAGTAGATATTGGGTTTGTTTTTGAGGATGTGTGAGAAACTCTTGGGACTTGGAAATAAAACTAAAAATGGAGTTGGGGGATGGTGGCTGGAGTGCGTGCTGCTCTTCCAGAGGACCAACGTTCAGTACCCAGTGCCCACATTAGGCAGCTCATATAGAATCCCAGCAGCAGGGAGGGGATCGGATACCCTCTTCTGGCCTATATGGGGACACGTGATCTTGTGCACATACTTGAACGGATACACACAAAATAGAAAAAAAATTAAAGAAGTTATTTATGTTGCTTTTTTATTTAATTTTTTTCCTAGACACAGGGTTTCTCTGTGTAGTCCTAGCTGTCCTGGAACTCACTCTCTAGACCAGGCTGGTCTTGCACTCACAGAGATCCATTTGCCTCTGCCTCCAGAGTGCTGGGATCGAAGGTGTGTACCACCATCACCACCTGGACATTTTCATGGTACAGTTTGGCCATGTCGATTTCTTACAAGTGTGGCTCCTCTTTTTTGCTAAGATATGAAGGCTAAGTTGGCAAGTGACCATGTATTTGAGGCCGTATGATCCAAAGGCATTTGGTATACACCCCTCTCCACTGTACTGTTCCCAGTGCGATCATTGCATATGGTAATGAGTTCAGCTAGTGTAGGGTGAAGGCGGGTTTATTTTCTGCCTTGGGATTTAGGGAAGTTTCAGATGAGTGGTGCAGGATGACCTCTGTAAGCCAGACGAAGGATGGCGAGATCCTTTCCCTAAATGCATGAATCTGGACTCCTCAAAAAATGTCTGTGTACGATCACTGAGACTTCATTTGATTAAATCTTGCATTTTTCTTTCAAAGGATGAGCGTGGTCTGGGGCTCCAGGCTCTTTTCTCTGTAGCTTCTCCCTGCCTCTCTCTGTGTGTCACTTGCTGTGGGGTTTTGCTGCAGGATCCCTTCTGCTCTCGGTTCTGTAGCGGAGGCTGGTTGTCATCACCTCTCATGGTCAGACATGCAGAAACTCCTTTTTTCCAGAGTCCACGTTTCTAGAGAAAAGATATGATTGGCTAACCGTGGGTCATGTGCCCTAATCCTGGCTGATTATCTGTGGCCAATGGCTTTGTCTTCCCACAGGAAACCAGGTGAACAGAAAAGAAGGGAGCTGGGAAAAACAGACCTTTATTCAATATTCTCAGCACAGCACCAAATAGAAAATTTACTCAAAATAAAGCAGTTTTTATTAAGACTATTGATGGCTAGAAATGCTGATATTTTATCTAAATTTCTTATGTTCCTATCTCCCTCCCTCCCTCTCTCCCTCTCTCTCTCCCTCCCTCTCTCTCTCCCTCCCTCTCTCTCTCTCTTTCTCTCTCTCTATGTGTGTGTGTGTGTGTGCACGCACGCGCATATGTGTGTGTGTGTGTGTGTGTGTGTGTGTGTATACTCATGCCATAACCTGCATGTATGTGTCAGGGGACAACTTTGGGGAATTGGATCTCTTTTTTTTCTACCCTGAGTTCTGGAGATAAACCATAATGGCCAATATTCAATCCCCTGCAGCTGGGATTCAGGTTTAAGCACTTTTGTCCACGAAGCTACCTCACTAACACCTGAATTCCTTGTATTTCCCTTCTTAAATATAATTTTATTTTTATATGCATTGGTATTTTGCCTCATTCATACCTGTGTGAGGGTATGAGATGCCCTGGAACTGAGCTACAGACAGTCGTGGGCTGTCACGTGGGTACTGGGAATTAAACCCCGGTCCTCTGGAAGAGCAGCCAGTGCTCTTAACCACTGACCCATTTCTCTACCTCCCCATTGTATTTCTTAATGTTTACAGCCAGTTGCTGTAAACATTAAATTCCACTTGCTGCTGCTGTAATCCAGGGACGAGGCCTCCCTTAAAGTAACAAGCAATACTAAAGCATGTGCGCAATTTATTTATTGACTGAATTTACCTGTTATATCCTATTGTGAATGCTAACGTGCATGTAAGGCAAAAATACACTTAATTCATTGTTTAAAAAAATCCAAGATACTGGTTTGACTGCTGATAATAAAATAAACACCTTTCTATTTTATATTTTTAGCTAAACAAGGAAAATAAAACACTGAAAAGAATCAGCATGTTATACATGGCCAAACTGGGACCAGATGTAATAACGGAGGAGATCAACATTGACGATGATGATCCCGCCACCGACACGGACGGTGCAGTAGAGACTTGTGTGTCAGTTCAGTGTCAGAAACAAATCAAAGGTGAGATTCTGCTGTCGGGACTGAGCGACGGCTTCTGCCAGGACAGGCTTTCACACCTCTGTGAGTGCACGGGAGTCTCACGAGGAGTTTCCGGAAAACACATGGGGCTTGGGAGATGGTTCTGTGGGTAGAGAACTTGCTGAGCAAGCTTGAGGGCCTGAGTTCACATTCCCCGCATCCGCATGAAAGCCTGCATGGATGTACATGCCTTTAATACCAGGACTGGGGGTTGGGGGGGTGTAGCCACAGGAAGACAAATGGGGTTTGCTAGCCAGCCAGTCTATTTAGCACACCAGCAAGCTCTGTGCTTACCCACGAGACCCTGTCTCAGGGAGATAAGGCACAGAACGACAGAGTGGGGCAACTGGCTTCCTCCTTGGGCCTTCATACACGAGTGTGTAGGCATGTGTGTCCGTACACACATGAGCACACACGCATACATACACCATGCACATACACTGAAACAATTTTGCCTGGGTCCTGCCACCAAAATTAATTATCCAGGGGAGCCAGGAGAGCCTGGCAGAGAGTCACAAGAGTGTGTCCCTCTCTCTCTCTTGCTTGGTGGGTTGCTTTTCACATTTGGAATGAGGCATCCTAAGAAGTGTGGTGGCCCGGCTGGCTGGAAGTGGGAGTGACCGTAACTCTAAGAGCTCGGGTCATGCTTTGTTTTTATTTTTTGGATTTTATTGTGTAAGTCCAACTGTTTCACTCACACGTGTGGGTGTGTGTGTGTATGTGCGCGTGCGCACGCACGCACCCCATGTGTGCTGTGTCAAGACGCAAGCCATGGTTTACACTATCTCTCACTTTGCTGGTGGTATAGCCAGCTATACGGAGAGAGGTTATCATGGGTAAAGCCCAAGGTTCGGTCCCCAGAACCAAAATTGTGTGTGAGTGCGTGTGTGCGTGCGTGCGTGCGTGCGTGTGTGTGTTTAGCCAGTACCCTGTATGTATTGGAGTCTCTGTTGTAATCATCGGAGAAAGATCTTTTGTTAAGATGATAGAAAACAGGTCCTGGTTCAGTAGCACGTATGGCTTGGTACATGTTCAAAAGTTGGACTTATTTTTTTTTTCCTGGCAGATAAAATTTCAGATGGAAGTGTAAGGAGGAAAGGACTCCCTGACTTCACTGGGCTCCTTGTGTTAACCCCTTATGTTAAGACAAAATAGCGGGCTCTGGTTAGCAGGGAGAGGGGGCGTCAAGGCCTCCCTCTGTCCATTGTTCTCCTTTCCCAGTCTTGAACACTATGGTTTCATGTTCTTCCTTCTGGAATTAGTCAGCTGGTGGAGAGAGTGACGTAGAGCTGAGTTCGTGCAAAAAAAATTAATTCAACTTACAAATAGTGGTGTAATGGGTTTCTTATTGCCCTTGGAGAAGGATAAGAGTTGAAAAGCTACTTGAAAAACAAAACTGGCAGAGTAGTGGGCCCGAACAGAAGCTTAAGAAGCCTGTGCCAATCAGTGGGGGCACTTTTAGACATCGCAGTGACACAATCCCTGCAGTTTTACCTTTTGTGGTTATAGTTGGTAATATGCTTCACCCTTGTAACACAACTTTCATTAAATCAGAATCATAAATGGCGAAACAGAACGCCCACCACTCTAGAGAGGAAAGTGCCTGTTTACATTTTCAAGTCAAGACTTCCATCTTCTCAAACCCTGAATCTCCAGGTTAACTATGCAGCTGTCTGTTTATGCTGTGGGTTGCAACCCCTTTGCAGGTCAAATGACCCTTTCACAGGGGTGGCCTAAGACTATCAGAAAACAGATACTTACATTACGATTCATAACAGTTGCAAAATTACAGTTATGAAATAGCAGTGGAAAGGATTTCCTGGTTGGGGGTCACCACAGCATGAAGAACTGTATTCAAGGGTTGCAGCATTAGGAAGGTTGAGAGCCACTGGTTTACATTGTTTTATGCCAAGAACCTGTGGCCATTGAGAAATAGAAGAGAATTTGATACAATTTGTCTCTGCTGAAAGCCTATAAAACTTTTTAAAACTTTGTTTGGTTGTTGTTTGTTTGTTTTTTGAGACAGGGTTTCTCTGTGGCTTTGGAGCCTGTCCTGGAACTCGCTCTTGTAGACCAGGCTGGTCTCGGACTTACAGAGATCCACCTGCCTCTGCTTCCTGAGTGCTGGGATTAAAGGCGTGTGCCACCAATGCCCGGCTTTTTTTTTTTAACTTTTAAAATGATAGATAGGATTTCAGAGTGTGAGTTTTTGATAGATTGTAAAGAAAATTCGTTTGGTCCCTTTTTACATAGTGAAATTATTGAGACTACCCGGTGTAAGTTATTATGTGGCTGGGGTGGGCTTTCGTGTGGCATTTCCATTGTCCTTTGGTTTTGCTCTCCCTTTCATTCATTGTCCGTTAAGCTTGGCTAACAAACTGCATTTTCAGTTATTTTTTTTTTTGGCCTGATCCATGGCTTCCCTTAAAAATAAATTTACCTCACGTGCAGCCATTATGGGAATCTGTGCAGAGGTTTCCCAAAATAAAAGCTAGAAAATAAAGGAGAACTACCAGGTGACCCAGTTACGCGCAGCCCAAGGGGCCCTGCGTCCGTTGCAGAGACCTGCATGTCTACGCCCACTGCTACCATACTCACGACAGCAAGGAGATAGCATTAGCTGTCCATCAGCAAACGAATAGATAAGGCCAAGGTGGTACACGCACACAATGGAGTTTTATTAGCGGTAAAGGAAGATGAAATTGTCGGCTGGCAGTATGGCTTTGGGGTAAAGGGCTTGCTGTGTGTGTGTGTGTGTGGACTGAATTTGGATGTCTAAACCCATGTCAAGATGGACAGGGTAGCATGTATCTGTAATCCCAGCATTCCTAGGACCTGAGAGTCAGAGACAGGTGAATCCCCAGAAGCTCATGGGCCAACTAGCCTGGCCTACTTGTGGGCAAATGGTAACCAACTGTTGCTGGTGGTTTCTTTTCCCTCACAGCCCCTTCCCAAATAAACACCTGGATGCTATATTAATTATTAAAGTGTTGGCCGATATCTAGGGCTTCCTATTGGCTAGTTCTGTCTTAATTATCAACCCATTTCTGGAAATCCATGTATTTCCGCGTGGTCTTCTTACTCCTTTGGCAGCTACATGTTGTCTCTCCAGTCTCTCTCTGCCTATCTTTCCCAGAATTCTCCTCATCTCCTAACCCCTGCCTCTATTGGCCAAACAGTGTTTTATTCATCAACCAATAAGAAAAACACGTATACAGAAGGACATCCCCCACCAACCACCCTTGGGTCAAACAGGTGGGAAGGTGCAAACCTACACCCTGAGTTGTATCTGATTTCTACATGTGTGCTGGCATGTGCGCACTTGCAATCACACACATGAACATGCACACACGTGTACACGCAACAATAAACAGGAAAATGAAATTATGGATTGTAGGAAAAAAGAATGGAACTGGGAATGTTTCTTTGAGTGAGATAAGGAAGGCTCAGAAAGGAAAAATACCATGAGTTCTGTCTGGCACCTCGTTTTATCTTTCTGTGTTTGTAAGGGAATGAGTCTAGGCAGACGGCATAAAATTAGAAAGAGTTCCATGAGGGGTGAAAATGATGTCTTAAGGAGGTTGGTGTTGAGAGGCTCAAGGGGACCTCTGGGAGCTGAAGGGAACAAGTGGGGGGCAGGGGAGAGGGGGAGCAGGGAGAGGCATGAGTTGGGGGGGCGGGAGCAGGGGCGGGGGTGGAGAATCAACCAAAACAAAAGATGATGAAAGCCTGTTACTTTGCTAATTAAAAAGTAAACTAAGGTTTATTTAAAAATTCCTTCCGTTAAAATCGTAGAACTCCGAGATCAAATTGTGTCTGTCCAAGAAGAAAAGAAGGTGTTAGCCATTGAGCTGGAAAATCTCAAGAGCAAACTCGTAGAGGTGATGGAGGAGGTAGGTACCTCAGGCCTGGAAGGCCCAAGCCCTTGGCTTTTAAACTTACAGTGGGTTGGGGGCTGGCTGAATTACAAACTTGCTGCTAAAAGCTAACCCGGGCCGGGCATTGGTGGCGTACACCTTTAATCCCAGGAACTTGGGAGGCAGAGGCGGGAGGATCTCTGTGAGTTCGGGGCCAGCCTGGTCTACAGAGTGAGTTCCAGGGCAGCCACAGCTACCCTGAGAAAACCCATCTCAAGACAAAACAAACAAAAAGCTAACTTGGTACTAGTGCCACATGTCAACTTTCATTCCAGACCCACCCCACCCCTCTTTCAGTCATTCATTTAAAAAGTACAGAAAGTGAGTCCATGAGCATGCGTCACTCCCCGGCTTAGCCAATCAGACTGCGGGGCGGCCCTGGTGTGTGGGGTACACGCTGTCTGTCACCCACGTTGTCTGATAGCAGGCAAGTTCGTGAGAATGGTGACGCATCTCAGGTCACATACTCTGTTGCCCAGGTGAAAGAAGATGAGCGTAGCTACGTTCAGTGGGCGGGCAGCCAGCACAGTGGGGATGGGCCACTGCTGTGTGTATGTCCCTCGGAGCAGAAAGAATAAGTTGCATGGGGAGGTTCGAGGGGTAATTTGGGGGAACCGTTTTTTGCTTGTTTGTTTAAATCTGGAACTGCCTGTGAGCACGGGGCCGCTAGGTTGCCTTTTATTTGTAGCAGGTCTTCAAGGACGTGTCTTCACAACCCCGATTGAACTTGTGTCCGCAGGTCTCAAGAGTCTGTAGTCCAGAGTTTCCCAACCAGCGTCTGCCAGCATTGCTGCAGCCCCAAGTGTCTTGAGTGGCCCGCGTCAGTGAGCAGCCTCACCTGGCCATCCCCCTTCCCGCATACATCCTCAACTCCTTGAGGACTAGCACACACACAGGTTGGGCAGCCCTGCCCTCCAGCCTCCCTACCATACTATGGGAGGGATTTCCCTGTTGGACTTTGTATACCTCTTGCTGACACCAACCAAAACCAAAAGAAAAAAAAAAAGATGAGATTTATATGAAGAGAAACCAGTTCATGAACTCTCTGGGGGTGCTGATTGGTGGACCCAAGGCTGTGTTCAGTGATGGACCAGAGGCTGTGTTCAGTGATGATGGACCAGAGGCTGTGTTCAGGGCACACACACTGTAGCTTGCTTCTTGAGCATGACTGTAGCAGAAGAGAACACATTGTTACCATCTGCCCAGCCTCTTAGAGGTGTTGCTAGGAGACAGTTGGGGTCCGTTTTTATTGTCACAGTTTGTGACATCTAGAAAGAATGGAGCAGAAGACAGCGGTCTTGCACACATATGCTCAGCTTACCGCCCGGCTGACCAACACGACCATGGCAAAATGTGGGGACCACCCTGCAGCTGCCTCTTCAATCATTGCCCAGCTCCCTAAGCAGCTGTTGTTCTGAGGGTGGTGTTTATCATTCCTGTGTGTGTCCTTACTTGTTTAGAGGAGTATAGGGTGTTGGGAGTGTTTCTGGGATCTGCAAGTATAACCCGTCTTTTGAAATTCAGCACAGTGCGTTTGAGGTGGATCCACCTGGATCTGGGTAGCTTTGCACTAAAATTGAACAAAACAAAACAACAAAACAAAACAAAACAAAACTGCTCTATGGTATTCTTTTCTACTAATTGGTGTTTAAAGTTATTCCAGAAACTTAAGTTTGGGAGAGAATATCACAGATATGTACCTTATTAGACCAAAAGTCATCCAAGTTTAAAGTTATCTTTTTTTTTTTTTTTTTTTTTTTTTTTGGCTTTTCGAGACAGGGTTTCTCTGTATTGTTTTGGAGGCTGTCCTGGAACTCCCTCTGAGAATCAGGATGGACTCCAACTCACAGAGATCCGCCTGCCTCTTCCTCCTGAGTGCTGAGATTAAAGGCATGCACCACCAACACCCTTCTAAAGTTATCTTTTTTAAAATGTTTAATATGTGCTTCCTTTAACCATAAAATTGAAGTCCAAGCTAAAACCTGAAGTTGAGTACTTGCTGTTAAGTGATAGGTGCGTTTTGTGGGTGATCCCTGATTGGGTTTTTGCATTGAAAATATCCGTGGGTGACACTGAATGGCTAGACTACTACCATACTACCCTGTGTAAGAAGACCGCCCCCATGTCAATTTGAATATGTAAATGAGCTGTGCTCAGGGGCGCCTTGGAGTTCCACAGAACTTTCTTTAGTGCTCTTGGTGGAGGAGCTGATGGGCGTTGCCACTTAGCAGCTGAACTTTATATTGAAAGCTGAACAGCTATTTGAGGGTCCCTTGTTGCCATACGTCTTATTTACAGTTTTGGGTGTTTTTCTTCTTCTCCACATCTTACATTTGTAGGTAAATAAAGTCAAGCAAGAAAAGGCTGTTTTAAATTCAGAAGTTCTTGAGCAGAGGAAAGTCTTAGAAAAGTGCAACAGAGGTATGTCCTTTTCAGTCTTAATTTTTCTCCCACATATTGTGCTTATGTATATTTGGTGCGCTTCTTAACGCCTGTGCCCAGGGCTGATGTTTTTTCCTAGGCTGTGTTTTGCTCAGCAATGACTCTCTCTTGTGTCTATTGTTTCATCACTGAAGACATTTAAAAGGGATTTCTACCCAGACAGGAGGGCATGAAACTTTAATCCCAGCACTTGGGAGGTAGAAGCAGGTGGATCTCTTGTGAGTTGGAGACCATCCTGGTGTATACAGTGAGTTTCAGGCCATCTAGGGCTATACAGTGAGACCCTATCCCCTCCCCCACAAAAAATTGGGGTATTGGAATCTTCCTGTAGTCCTAGCACTGGGGAAATAAGAAACTGGAGGGTCCCTGCATAAGCCTAGGTGAGTCAATGTACGTCAGATTCAATGAGAGACCCTTTCTCAAAAATGACAGGTAGGTAGGTAGATAGATAGATAGATAGATAGATAGATAGATAGATTGATAGATTGATGGATAGAGCAATCGAGAAAGATACCCAACATTGACCTCCCTATATACAAACACAAAAGTGCATGCACAAGTACACACACTTCAAATACACATACCACACACATTGCACTAAGAAAATTAAATAAAATTCGATTTCCCTTGAGGGACTTGGAACTAACTCATTTTTAAACTGAAAACCTATATGCTTCTGTCCTATGTGTATTGTGGAACCATAACCATGTTTTCTTACCCCTTTAGCATTTATAGGATTGATGGGCTAGTTAGTAAATCTGAATCTCGGAGAGCTGCATAAGCATGAAAACATTTTAAATTAGAGGATATGGAACATTGGCCAGTGGGAAAATGAGCATCGATATCAATACACCACTAAGGTGCGGTGGCACACTCTTTAATCTCAGCACTGTGGAGGCAGAGGCAGGTGGATCTCTGTGAGCTCGAGACCAGCCTGGTCTACAGAGTGAGTTCTGAGCCAGACAGGAATACATATTGAGACTTTTTTTTTTTTTAAAGAGAGATTGTCCTGCCAAGTGTCTCCTTGCTTTGGGGTCTTGCATAATTCCTCTTTGAATTATGAAATAGGACTCCGCGTCTCCAGTGGCCAACACAGCAAGAGATTCATAACCATATGAGATGAGTTACATAAAAACAAATCTAGTGATGAGGAGAAGGGGACCCAGCCTATTCAGAGAGATGTTTCTAATGGCTACTTCTAAAGCAAATGCCACGTTTTTTTGGGTCAGCATCTCATTCTCACTGTTGAAACACGGCAGGAGTCTCATGGGCACTGCTCACTATGTTACAGTTTAGTGCAGGGAGTGATACTGAAGTGTAGCTCTACAAAGGTCAGTCTGATGGAGAGGACCGCGAGGGCTCTACCAGTCTATTTTTGTTGTTGTTGCTATCATGAACTACACAAGTCAGTCTGGAAACTTTAAAATGAATATGCCTTCCGATATTATCCAGGAGTGTGACGGCATTGTCTGCTTAACTCTGGGGGGGAGGGCTCCTTGGTGGAGGCCACGCTGCAGTGATGACGTCACCATCCAGGTGGGAGTGTGAGATGCCAGGGAGAGATCTCACGGCGGGAGTGGTCTTCCTTCCCCCCCCCCCATTGTAACCCACTCTGCTGATCGGCACAGGAGTTTTGATCTGCTCCGTTTCCAACCTGGGTCGGCTCACCCCTCCCTAGGCAACCTGGTGGTCCCCACTCCCAGAGGTCACACTGTTTTGAAGCCCAACGTAGCATGGACACCTGGTTAGCATAGCACACTGCAGCCCCAGAACTCCCGGACTCAAGCGATCCTCCTGTCTCAGCCTCCTGAAAGCCGAGAGGCTACCAAGCCCAGCATTAACCCAGTCTAGTGAGAACTGACTTTTCCTTCATGAGATCAGCACAATTCCCTCCCATATCTTACTACCTGGCAGTATGCCCCTCTCTTAAGGTCCCCGTACCTCTTTTTTTTTTTTTGGTTTTACGATACAGGGTTTCTCTGTATTGTTTTGGAGGCTGTCGGTCCAGCCCGGCCTCGAACTCACAGAGATCCGCCTGCCTCTGCCTCCCGAGTGCTGGGATTATGGGATTAAAGGCATGCGCCACCACCTCCCGGCGGTCCCCGTACCTCTTAATGCTAATGTTGGGGACCAGATTTGCACATGTGCATACTGGAGGCAGTACCACGTCCAAACAGCGACAACAGAGGATTGATGTGTTTCTTGTTCTCCCTTTGACCTGTCCCCAAAGCACTCAGCTTCCTCGCTCAGATGACAGGACATGGACTCTGTACCCTGCCCTTGATGCCGGCATTCATCCTTGGTGTTGCTTATTGACTGGAGTTTTTGAGGAAAAGGCCTGGGCTACTAAGCACGGGAGGAGGCGGATGAGACGGTGGTCCTCCCTCAGCGTGTGCAAGGAGCACTCCTCTCTGCGTACTGTGTAGAAACGGGAGCTCACCCCACGACTCTTGCCTCCGGGAAGCCCCCTGTCTAGAAAGAAATGGGTATAGGTGAACATGCCACAGGGCCAGACTAGGTTCCTTTCAGAATCCGAGTCAAAGGGACCTAGACACAGGAAAATTAACTTCTTATTACAGTGTTCCGGACAGAAGAGGAGAGCCGATCGCCCTGCCCGGGGGCTTCAGATACTCATGGTCTTCATTGTTCTCTTTGTGAAATTTCTTCTTCTTCTTTTTTTTTTAAAATAGGTTTGAAAGTCATTTAGCCCTCAGGGACCTGTAATTCCCAGCACAAACCGCCACTTACATTACTTTACTTGAGTTAGACTATTCTGCTTCTGTCTGAGGAGGCAGTAGTTTACGGGAGAGCAGAGTTTGAAATTCTATGTCATTACACAGCAAACCCATCCTTAGTCAGTTAGGATTGAAGTGCCCAGTGGAACAGAGTGTGAAAGCAGCCATTAAGAGTGTCTTGGCGGGAGTTTATTGATATGACTCAGCTCTGAGCGGGGCTCTTCAGCAGCCGTCTCCCTGCATTGTGCCCAGCTCCTAATGGCGTCACCGCTCCCAGCACCCTGCCCATACCATTATTTAACAAAGTAGGCCACATAATGTCGGAAGCAGCAAAGACTGCATGCTGTGTTTATTTGACAGGGCCTTTTCTACAGTAATTCTTTTTGGGGGGGGGGGCAGGGAGGGATGGGCAGGGTCTCTCTATGTAGCCCTGACTTGCATTTCACATAAATCTGTTGACCTGTCATGTGTGCCCTGCCCTGCGAAATGCCTGTGAGTTGTTTTTTGTTTGTTTGTTTTCTTTAAAAGACAGAAAGGAGGGGGGGCTGGAGAAGATGGCTCAGTGGCCAAGAGCACCCTTGTTCTCTTGCAGAGAACCCAGGGTTCAGTCCCCAGCGCCCACATGGTGACTCACCTGTTTTACTCCAGTTCCAGGGGATCTGACACCTTCTGATTTCACACGTGTGCCACACAGACTTAACATGTAGATGGCACACTTATACACATAAAGTAACATTAAAAAACAGAAATGTATTCATTTTGCTTATTTGAAAACACACATCTTTCCTTATATTTGGTTTCGTAATGTGATTTTGGCCGAGGAGTGGCTTTGCTTGTGTTGTATTCCACTGGCCCTTTGGCGTGTTCCCCAAGAGCACGCGTGCAACCACGTCTCTGTCCTCCCGACTTGCTCTTTTAGGATGTGGGCTAGCCGTTGGGTCGAGGGGCGTGAATGGTTTTAGATTTTTTTTTCCTCCATTCATGCTGCTGACGTGCCCTGCGTGAAGCTCATCACTCCACACCGGCCAGGAACAGATGTGAGGTCTGTGAAGTCCCTTTTGCACACGCATTGCTGGTAACTCGCACGGCCCGTGGCCTCTGTTCTTTTCTTTATCTGCTTCAGTGTCCATGTTGGCAGTCGAAGAGTATGAGGAGCTGCAGGTAAACCTGGAACTGGAGAAAGACCTTCGCAAGAAAGCGGAGTCATTTGCACAAGAGGTGGGTACGCTGCAGAAACCGGGTGACTTCGCAGAACGCCCGTGGGTGAAACAAGCAGAGTCAGCCAGATGAGAAGGGTAGTAAGTCCCAGCTTGGCTTGGGTTGCAGTGGTTACTGTGTAGTTTGCTAGGACCTAGAACAGAGCCTTTTGACACGTCCCACCACAGACAAGGAATGCTTAAGGAAATGGGGATGTGGTGACTTAGATCTAAGGGTTTTTTTTTTTTTTTGGTTTTTTTGTTTTGTTTTGTTTTTACAAGACAGGGTTTCTCTGTATTGTTTTGGAGGCTGTCGGTCCAGCCCGGCTTCGAACTCACAGAGATCCGCTGCCTCTGCCTCCCGAAGTGCTGGGATTAAAGGCGTGCGCCACCACCGCCCGGCTAGATCTAAGTATTACAGTTTATATGCACGCACCGGATTTCCCTGGTGCATTAATGTAAGTGTTTACAGTCACCGTGCATCAACTGAAGGTTTTAGAAAATGTTTTGAGTAGAAGCTAGCGATTTTAAGTGGAGCAACCCCGAGATGCGTCGTAGCGTTAGGTTTTCTGAAGCGAGAGGACAAGACATGGGTGGAGAGTCTGCCGTGCCTACCACTGCACAGCCTCGGAGCGGTTCCTCACCCTCTTAAGGCGGCACTACACCTGTAAGACAGACAGACAGACGTCCATGTGAGTGGCATCGGGGATTTTGGAATGTAGTGGGATGTGTCTGAGTGTGTGTGCTAGCGCAGTGTAGAGGATAAACATCAACGTCACTACCCACGTTCGTTTCTGAGGCAGGATCTCTGACTGGCCTGGGGATTGCTCACATGGTAGGCCAGCTGACCAGCGAGTCCCAGGAACCCACTTGTCTCTGCTTTTCCAGCACTTGGATTGTGAGCATGTGCCATTGTGCCCGATTTTTTTTTCCCCATGGGTTCTGGGGAATTGAGCTTAGTTCTTCATATTTGCACGGTAAACACACTTTACAAACTGAGCTATCCTCCCCGCCCCCAGCCAAAGCAGAATAATTTTTTTTAAAAAGCATTGCACAGGCAAGAGAGTGCTGTGCAGGAAAATGAATTTCCCCGGAGAGACCTATAACGGGATGACTGGCCAGCTTGTGCAGAGTGTCTATACATTTCAGATAGCCTTGAGAATCTGGCCTGTGTCTCAATGCCATCTCAGATGACAGTGTCACAGTATCTGCCTTTCTCTCCTGGCCATCGTCTGGTGCTCTCATTATGTGAGTTGATTCTTTCATCGCTAATGGAACGTTGCCATGTTGAACACCCATTATCTCAGCCACTCGCCGGCGTAATGATTTCCATCTCGGGTTAGAGATAAGCTTGGAGCTTCTCTTGGTTCCACCTGACCTGGTTGACATCCGAGCATTGGGTATTCCATGGCTCTGGAGCTGGTTTCCAGGGGAATGATCTACGACCAGGTAGCTGAACTCAAACACCGAGCTCCATTCAGCAAGGTCTCTGTCTCTGCTGGAATTTCCAGCCTCAGTGTGAAGAAGACAGGATGTTGCAAGAAAGATATTTGAAATTCAGATTATGCTTCTGTGTAGGATTTCTTCTTCTTCTTCTTCTTCTTCTTCTTCTTCTTCTTCTTCTTCTTCTTCTTCTTCTTCTCCTCCTCCTCCTCCTCCTCCTCCTCCTCCTTCTTCTTCTCTTGTTTAGTTTAGTTTAGTTTAGTTTTGTGTTTTTGTGCTTAAGCACAGCCTGGCTAACATTGGACCTCCACAGAAGGTTTAATCCAGGTGTCTGTGATTTGAAATATTGTGATTTGTTTTGTTCAGAGAGTTTGAGGAATGCTAGATGCATACTGTTCTCTGTTGGCCTGTGAGGAAAAATAAATAAATAACAAAAGCCGTGCGGCTGTAAATGAGGCAGGTAAATCGACAGCGGTGGGAGCAGCACTGAGTATCTTTCTCTCTCTCTCTCCACCTTACTTTTTGAGACAGGGCCTCTCAGCTGAACCTGAAACTCATTGATCGGCTAGACCGACTAAGCCACCAAGCTCTAGGAGTTCCCCATCTCCCGTCTCTCCCTCCAGAGCCACGGTTACAGGTGTATGAGGCGGTGAGGCCATGGACCCGAACATGGCTTGTGCAGCTGCCGCTTCCAGACAGAGTCATCCCCTAGCTCCCTTCTAGCCACTCCTTCGTCCTTCTAGGAAGATACACTGGGAAGAAAGCATGGGTTTATTTGTGTTTCGTATGCACAGCGAGTTTGCCTGGTTGGGGCTGAGTTACAGACTGTGTATGTAGATAGATCGCTGAAGTTCCAGCCTTTGCACGTGGAAGTTTGCAGGAATTTTACCTGTGGCGATATATATTATTTATGATTTGTTAAAGCTTGCCTGAGGATTCAGAAAGCAAAGCCAGCCTCAACCTGTAGAGATCAGGCAGTGGTGGCACACACCTTTAATCCCAAGACTCAGGATTAAGAGGTGGTAGATGGATCTCTGCTAGTTCAAGGCCACACTGACTACATGAAATTGATACAGTGCTAAAAGAGACAGCTCACACAATGGTGATCTCAGTACCTGGTGTCACACGCCTTTAATCCCAGCACTAGGGAGGTGAGTTAGACAGGAGCAGGGTCTCAGAGCTGGCATTCAGTCTTAGAGTTAAGTCTCTAGCCACGTTGCGGAGAGCATAGCTGTCTGAGCGAATCTGAGGTGCACTAAAGTCAGGAGCAGTTTGAGGATCACTCCTTTGGTCAGAGCTGAGGTAGAGGTAAAAGCTAGCAGCCGACTGCTTTGCTTTTCTGATCTTCAGCTTGAAGCTTGGACCCCAGTATCTGACCCTGGGTCTTTTATTTATCACGCTACATTTATCTTTGTCCTGAGTTACAATTTCCTGACATTTTGTGTTACATGGCAGATGAAGTTGTATGTATGCTCTGCAGTAAATCACCCCATGGTGCACAGCTTAGAGTTAAGCTACAGTGTCAATGCAAGACGCCGTTAAGATTCTGACAGTGTAAAGTGTTGTTGCTCAGAGGCTTCGGAGTTCGTGAAATAGCTCATGCTTGGGATTGCCCACCAGTCGTCTTGGTACAGTGAAGAGAAAATAAATAACAGACAAACAGAAAATAATTCTGCTGTCAATTGTGCCAACATGGGAGAATTAGCCGAGTCGCATTCATAAGCAACTCGATGAAGCGTTCAATACATGCTAGTGTGGTCTCCCTCCCGAACTGTTTCTCACTGGGGGGAAACTAACATAAGTCTAATAAAGAGCAGAGGAGGTGAATCAATGGGTTTAATTCTGGTCTTGATACCTATGTACCCTTGGGGAAATCACTTGGTCTCTCTGAGCCTCCGCTTCTTTGCCAGGAAAATGCAATGGCCACAGTTACCTATTTGACGGTGTTGTTCTCAATCGTGAAAGATATCTGCACATAGAGTGACACCCACTGTATTGTATGGTCCTCAGGGAAGGTTACCAGTCACATCAGGAAGTTAGTTCACAGGACGTGCACAAGGCTGAGACAGCATAGAGCGTGCCTGGCAAACGGTATATTGTTGACACATTCTTGCCAGTGCATTTTAAAGCAGTAAGGGAATGTTTAAAATTGGGGTGTAGAATTCAGTTAGTGTATTCCCCTCCGTGCTTAGAGTAGGGATTTAGGCATTGAAATTGGTGTGATGTTGGGAATTGCACCATGGCAATATCCTACTTCAGGCATTTCCATTGGGGTCTTCAAAAACTCCATTTGAGCTGCACCGGGGATCTGCATGGGCTGGCTTAGTGCATACATGTTTGTAATTAACTTTTGCAGATGTTCATTGAACAAAACAAGCTGAAGAGACAAAGCCACCTTCTGCTGCAGAGTGCCCTTCCTGACCAGCAGCTTCTGAAAGCGTTAGACGAGAACTCAAAACTCATCCAGCAGCTCGAAGAAGAGAGGATCCAGCATCAGCAAAAGGTAACTGATTTTATTCTGGAGCTGTGGGCGCACACATATGCACACATGCATACATGTACACACATGCATGTACACACACAAACACATCACACATGCATACATGTGCACACATGCATGTATACACACATATGCATACATGTACACGCATGTGTGTACATATATAAACATCACAAACATACATGTACACATATCACATACATGCACACACGTACACACATGCATGCACACACAGACATATCACATACACACATACACATGTACACACATCACTTACATGCATATACATGCATACACATGTACACACATACCTGCAGACACATCACACATGCATACACATGCACACACACACACACAGAAACATCACACGTACATACACACCACAAACTCATGCACATGGACAAATAGTTTACCATCATACATTAAAACAGGCGGTACTAGTAGGGTTTTCTAAAGTTACATAGTTTGCCTTGTCTACTAAGTCCTAAATACCTTTGAGAAAAACAACAGCTACCAAGTGAATTTAATGTACTGTTCAGCTACAGTTTATGGCATACTGTCATGGAGTCTTTGAAGTGATCAGGAAGTCATCATTAATAATGAGTTTGGAGAAGCAGGGGAAAAGATAGGACTCAAGAGTGTTTTGGGCAGTTGGTAGTCTTGAAGTCTGTTAGGGAAGGTATGGTTTTCAGAGACGGGATACACTCAGGAGAGTGTATTGGGCAGTTGGTAATCTTGGGGAAAATGTGATTTTCAGAGACTGGATACACTCAGGAGAGTGTATTGGTTTTCCAGAGCTTCTTGAGGGCCATAGGACCTTATTCTAAGAGGGATGGGAAGAAAAAGCCGTCATGACTAATTGCTTTGTTAGGTACAGTTTATGATCACGCAGGCTTGTGTAGATGTCCATAGTGCTTTCTTCAGTGTTTTTGTTCAGGAGTAGAACTCTTCAGGTCAACACAGCCCAGGTCCCTCTGTGTCAGGCAGAGAGGCCTGTCACTGTGCTAGGGGAGAGCAGAGGGAAGACATGGGAGAAAGACTTGCAGGAGCCACTTTAGAACAGTGATGCCAACTTTTGTGGGGCCTCGTAGCAGACCCCGTTCGTGGGGAAAGGCTGTTACCTGCAGCTCACTTTTCCCTGTCAGCGCCCCCCCACGCATGATCGCCTCCACTTCTGACACTGTTTCACACCTAGCAGTGACGTCAAGCTGGGGTTCCGTTTCCTCAGTGGGAAGTGTTGGCAGATGTCCACAAAGCCTCTGCTCCCCAAGGCTAAAGGTGAAGAATTCCTTTTTCTACTCCCACATGCAGGAATTGCATTTTCAGAAAGAAAGTGTGTGTGTGTGTGAGAGAGAGAGAGAGAGATGTGTATAAGCATGTGTGCGGTGTCTGTGTGTGATGTCTCTGTGTAAATGTAAGTATGTGTGACGTGTATGTGTGTGTAAGTATGTAATGTATGTGGTGTCTGTGTGTGTATGTAAGTATGTGTGTGGTAACTGTGTATGTGTGTAAGCATGTGTGTGGTGTCTCTGTATGTGGTGCGTGTATGTGTAAGTATGTATGTGGTGTGTGTATGTGTGCGGTGTCTATGTATGTATGTAAGTATGTGTGTGGTGTCTGTGTATGTGTGTAAGCATGTGTGTGGTGTCTCTGTATGTGGTGCGTGTATGTGTAAGTATGTATGTGGTGTGTGTATGTGTGCGGTGTCTATGTATGTATGTAAGTATGTGTGTGGTGTCTGTGTAAGTATGTGTGTGGTATCTGTGTGTGTGTGAGTATGTGTGTGGTGTCTTTGTATGTGGTGTGTATATGTGTAAGTATGTATGTGGTATGTGTGTGTATGTGTGTGGTGTCTATGTGTGTATGTAAGTATGTGTGTGTGTGGTGTCTCTGTGTATGTATGGTATGTATGTATGTGTAAGTATGTATGTGGTGTCTGTGTGTGTAAGTATGTATGGTGTGTGTGTTTAGCTTGTGTTAAATTTTGACTTTTGGTCCTGAGAAGACAAACTATAATTGTTAACTTCATTGGTAGATAATCCACAGAATTGAACTGGACTTTAGGACTGAGTTGTTTTCTGTGTCCTGTTTGACAAAGGAGCAGAGGTCATTGTGGGTGAAACTATAGCAGTTACTAGTTCTACAGGCTTTATCCTGCCCTAGTCATTTATTCTGGGTACTCTCTTGTAGATGGAAGTTTCTGTCCCACCTGTTCTCATAAACTGTTTGGCTGATAGCTCAGGTTTGTTTTGGCTAGCTCTCTCTTAATTGTAAACCCATTTCTATTGATCTGTGTATCACCACATGGTCTTAGCTTACCAGTGACGCCAGGGTCTCTTACTTCCTCGGCAGCTACATAGTATCTCTTCAGCTTCACCTACTCCCTTTCTCTATCCTTGTTTGGATTTCCCCTCCTGAGTAGATCCTGCCTGTCCATTGGCTAAAACAGCTTTATTCATCAGCCAATAAGAGAAACACATATTCACAGCATGCAGAAGGACGTTCCCCATCACTCTCTGCTGTGTGGTATAAAATATCTCCTGCTTGAACACAAATTCCCTCGTAGACTCATTACTCTTTAAAACACAGATATTTTGCTTTTGCATATATAAAATAATGTATGTTCCTTATAATAAACACACAATTTTTAAAATGTAAAAACAGTAAAGGAAAATTAAGATTACCTGAGAATCCAAGATGTATACTTTTGGGCGGCTTGAAACTGTATATAAATGCATGATTTTTATGATGTATATATGGTTTGTTTAAATGGAGTTATGTGATGCATGGCCTCCTTTAACATTTTTCAGTTGGTATTATATCTTCCCATCTAAGTGTATATTGAACTATATGGGTTGTTTATGTCGTTGTTTTTAGTTTGTTTTTTTCCCGAGACAGGTTTTCTCTGGGTAGCCCTGGTTGTCCTGGAACTAGCTCTGTAGACCAGTCTGACCTCAAACTCACAGAGATCCACCTGCCTCTGCCTCATGAGTGCTGGGATAAAAAGACATGCGCCACCAACACCAGCTGAACTATATAGTTCTGTATGACTGTACAGTGTTTCCTTTATATAGTTTGTGAAATAATAACGCTGATGAATGTTTAGGTTATTCTTAGGTTTTCAAAAATGTTTTAGGGGTGTGTTTTCACATTTGCCTGAGGCTCACCACTGTTGGTTAGCTAGAAATAATGTGTCTGTTTTAAAATAAGTTTTGGATGTTATTTTACTTTTGTGATGTCTATAACTTCTCAGTAAAACTCATAGAAAATGAGATAGCTGATTAACAAGTGCTAGTGTTACCTGGACCCAAAATTTGTGTGATTTTTTTTGTTTATAAAAAGCTTTTTGAGACAGGGTTTCTCTGTGGCTTTCCTGGAACTAGTTCTTGTAGACCAGTCTGGTCTCGAACTCACAGAGACCCGCCTGCCTGTGCCTCCCGAGTGCTGGGATTAAAGGCATGCGCCACCACCACCCAGCTAATCTGTGTGATTTTAAAGGTGGATTTGAATCTTTTTGCTATGAATAAAAAAAAAAGTCAAGTGAAAATTTTCATCTCCCTCCCTGTTTTCTTCGACAAGGGGGAGTACCAGCCCCATTCAAGCTGTGTCAAACTTACAGGTCAAAGAGTTAGAGGAGCAGCTGGAGAATGAAGCCCTGCACAAAGAGATCCATAACCTCAGGCAGCAGCTGGAGCTTCTGGAAGAAGACAAGAGAGAGCTGGAACAGAAATACCAGAGCTCGGAGGAGAAGACCAGAAACCTGAAGCATTCAGGTGAGAGCTGAGTTGGCAGCTGTGCCCCCTTCTCATTCCACGACAAAGCCTGTCGTGAAGCTAGTTCTGATTTGTGTGTGTGTGTGTGTGTGTGTGTGTGTGTGTGAGAGAGAGAGAGAGAGAGAGATTGTGTGTGTGTGAGTGTGGGGGCTGAGTATGTGTGTGTGAGTGTGTGTGGATGTGTGCAGGTGTGTGAGAGTGTGTGTGTGTGCATACACACGTGCACGCCCACTGTGTTATTACGCATGTGTATGTGTTTGTGTGTGCGTGCACATTCCTGTATGTGGAAGCTAGGGATCAACTTCAGGAGCTGCCCACCCTGTATTTTCTTTTTTAAAAAACTATTTATCTTTATTTTGTGTATATGAGTGTTTACCTGCATGCATGTTTGTATATGAGTGTTTTGTGTATATGAGTGTTTACCTGCATGCACACGTGTTCCTGGTACCTGTGGAAGCCAGAAGAGATGTGTTGGAGTGAATTGGAGTGATGCACAGTTCTGTATCATCATGTAGGTGCTGGGAACTGAACCCGGGTCCTTATAAATAAGAGCAGCAAGTGCTTTGGTTGCTGAACCATCTCCCCAGCCCCCAGTCTTGTTTGGTTGTTTTTGTTGGTTGTTTTTTTTTTTAAGATAGGGTATCTCTCACTGGTGTCCGTGGCTCACCGGTAAACCTGGCTTGCTGACGAGGGAGTTCCACAGACACATCTGACTACACTTTGGCAGCACCGGGATTCCAAGCTTATATACCACCACACCCGGCTCTGTTCATGGGCTCTGGGGGGTTGAGTGCAAATCCTCATGCTTGCTTACACACTGAGTGTCATACTGACTGAGAGATCTCCCCAACCCACAGACTTGTGTTTTTTTTTATTTCTTCATATGTAGCTGTCACAGTCCAGCAGAGCAGTGTCATAAAGTCACAAATATTGCAACTTACTTTTTTTTTTTAACATAGAGCCTCTGTAAGCTTCTTTCATCGAACCAAAGCCCAGTGGTGCCATTAGCATGGAAGACCCCAACTGTCAACATCTTGGGCCTTTGGAAAGGATTGCTCACCAAGCACTTACTTATTCTACTCTGTTCATTTTGGAGTGCTGTTTCAAAAAGAACTGAACTCTCCTTTCTTTCCTCTTTTCCTTTCTTTAAATAATACCCTCATCTTTGGTATTTGTGTCCCCTTCATCTTTGGGGTTTAATTATACATATGGAATGTTACTTTCTATGCCACACCTAACAATGAAGTGGGCAGCAATATGTATATTAAATGGGAAAACTTTTAAAACACCAGGGGTTCTCTATCAAGGGATTTTGTTCATTCGGTGCTGGAAGGCTCATGAAAATGTAGGAGCTAGATTACTACACAGCTATACACCCCGAGAAGGTGGGCAATTTACCGCGGGTACATTTCCCTTTATAACAGCCTCAATGTTCACTCCAGATATTTCCCATTAATTTTATAATAGAATTTTGAAATCCGTGCAGAAGAACCATGTCGCCTTTTTTCCCTCCTTCCTGAAACATTCAATGTTCTTTAAATACTCGCAATGAAAAGTGATCACGATTTGCTTCAAAAAAAGTCAATCCAAAGTTAAGAAAACTTCGACTCTTTTTTGTAACTGCCAGGGTCGCCTGTAGGCAAAGTCATATTTATAGTAAGTGGAAGGGGCAGATGTTGTAGATATCTGAAATTCTACTTTGAGCTGATTTCTGTGGAATCTGAGACTCTGGCAGCCAGTTCTATCATGGGGACCGATAAGAAACTCAGAGGAAGGGCTGGAGTGATGGTTCAGGGCTTAAGGGCACTGGCTGTCTCTGCAGAGGCTGGGGGCTTGATTCCCAGCACCCACATGGTGCCTCACAGCCATCCAGGGGATCCTACGCCCTCTTTTGTCCTCTGCAGGCACTGTTTACACGTGGTGACCATACATACATGCAAGCAAAACCCTCATAGAGTCAAATCAAATAAACAAATCTACAGAAACACAGAAGAAAAGAACCTGTGCGGCTTTTAATGGGTATGGTGCCACACGAACGCTACCCCAACTCTCAGGAAGGTTAGGGTCAGGTTGGAGTCAGGGTTCTCTAAGGGAACAAGGCTGACAGAATGAACTCACAGAAGGGATTTATTATGAAATTTGTTAACCTGGATTGCAGGCTGTGGTTCAGATAATTTAACAATGACTACTTCTCTACAGAAAGGTCAGGAGTCTTAGTTCTTTAGTCCAGGAGCCTGGAGGGTTCAGTAGTTCCAATCTGGTGCTGGGGCCCAGGAGCCGCTGGTCTCCAAGCTGTGTTAGAAACCCGAAGAAATGGGTTCTGACTCCAGTGGAGCAGCGCCTTGACATCAGGCTAGGGGAACTTGCCAGTGCGCGAGCAGGGAGAACAGCAAAAAGCCAAGTTTCCTTCTTCCATGCCCTTTTTCTTGGCCTGCCACCAGAAGGTATGGGCCCGTTTAGAGCGGATCTTCCCCTGTGAAATAATCAAATAATCTTGATGTTGACTTTTGACCTGCACACACACAGGCACACACACACAGGCACAGAGAGAGAGAGAGAGAGATACACAGACATACACACTCACACACACAGACACACACAGGCACATACACACACATGCACACACACACACAGAGAGAAACACAGACATACACATGCACACAGAGAGAGAGAGATACACAGACATACACACTCACACACAGACACACACAGGCACGCACACACACACACACACACGTGCATGCACACACACACACAGATGCACACACACACACACACACACACACACACACACACACTGCCTGTTTAAGGACTGTGGGGAAAGCCTGGCTGGTGATGAGCCGTGAAGTGACCTGAGTGCATACAGTATTTGTACCCATCACCTGTTAGGACATGATACATATTTCTTTCCTTTTATGGTGCCGGGGATTGAACCCAGGGGCTTTGTGCTTGCTAGGCAAGAGCTCTAGGATAGAGCTGTACCTCTAGCACTCTAATACAAGTTTGAGAGCCCCTTGGAGTCAAGAATTGCCGCGCCCTCACTCCGTGCATAGGTCCGTTTGCATTGTTGGCGTCTGACAAACGCCTGTCTTATTGTGACTTGAGTGAATAAATGGCATTTCTTCAGATGAGCAAAAGGTTTGTTAAGTCACAGGCATTTAGGAATGTGGATCTAGTTGAGAACTCTATAGTGTTCTGAAGGAAATTAAGCGTGGGAGAGAAGAATGCAGTTTATTAAAATGCGTTGCAAATGCCGTCTCTAAAAGCGGCCCTCGGTCCACAGGCTTTCAAAGTCTAGCATGAAGAATTTCTTGGTGTTTGAGGGGTGAGTTCCGTTGCTGCTGCAAATACTCTTTCAGCCTGCTCTGTTCTTCCTCCCCACGCATTAGCCACATTCTTTTGTCTACGTGGGAAAATAATGGCAGTGGACCTAAGCAGATGGAGAAGCCCCAGCTATGGCGCTAGCAATGACTGACTGGATGAAAAATATCTGCAGTCTCCCCGGGGAATGTCTAAGCATGCCCCAGTCGTCCTCTGAGAGAGGCTGTTTTTCTGTTATGTGTGAACAGAGTGTAGTGGTTTACCTCAGGTCTCTCTGAACCCTTGCTCCCTGTGCAGTGGATGAACTCCAGAAGCGAGTGAACCAGTCGGAGAATTCGGGGCCTCCTCCACCTCCGCCGCCTCCGCCTCTTCCCCCCTCCACCGCCCAATCCGATCCGGTAAGTACCGTGGAGGAGCTTCCTGCTACCTGTAGCATCCCTTGTCCTTGATCCGATAGTCACGCTAGTCTTTATTATTTTTTTCTTTCCTGAGACAGTCTCATGTATCTCATACTAGCCTTGAACTCACTCTATAGCTGAGGATGATCCTCTGACATTTGCCTCCCTAGTGCTGGGGTTGTAAACATGCCACCAAGCTCAGTTTCTGCACTGCACTGCAGGGAATCGAACCCACGTCTTTGTTGGGGGGGTTGTTGTTGTTGTTTGGGAGAGGGGGGCTCAAGACAGGTTTCTCTATGCAGTCTTGGAACTCACTCTGTAGAGCAGACTGGCCTCAAACTCAGAGAGATCCACCTGCCTCTGCCTCCCCAGTGCTGGGATTAAAGCCGAGCGGCTTCCACCAACTGACTCCTGTCCTCAAAGGGACAGTGAAAAGCAGAAAAGAACATTTCCTAAAGACCAGCGTTTTCCCACCACTTCTTGTATATCCTTGGTGTTAAGTCGTCTTTCAAGGAAATCCTCACAGACCACGTGTCCCCTTGTAGAACTTGGATTCAGTGTTTCAAACTCTCAGATGCTTCTCATTTCAGAATTCCACCCCTAGCACTAGGATTTCCTTCACCCATGAGGCCAAGGAATTTTGAGGATCTCCAAAGTCCCTTCACTGATTTGAATAAGGAGGAGGTTCTAGCTTATTCATTTTTAAAATAAAAGTCTTAAATTAAAACTTAACCTACTAATTGCTATAAACTAGTAATCAGTCTAAAGGTACTAAATATCTTTTTGCCCCCAACTAATTTGTCCAGTTAGATAAGCCTTTGATAATTCTGAGAGTAGAACTTTGCGTGATAAAAACGAAATTACTGTTCTAAGATCCTTGGGGAAGGAATAGCTTGCCATCATTGCCTCTCTCTGACGTACATTCTAGAGAGATTTCGCCTTTCTTTGTGAGTCTATGTGCCACCATCCAGAATTAGAGAAGTCAGGCTACTCATTTTGACGACTGCCTACCTCCTCATGATGTCCGTTAGCTGCCTTTGAATAATCTGTTCTTGAACAAATGGCATTTAAACTTTTGCTGGATGTTTTAGCTTTCATTAACTCATGTGATTTGTTTAATCCTTTCACACAGAGAAGTCCTTTATTCCCTCTTTGCACCTTAGCCGATACGGCTGAATAGAATGCGTGGCACGTCCCTCCCACACGACTATGGAAATAGGACTTTGCCTTTGAAAAAGGTTCTCATTACATTGCCTTGCCGAGTTGGGTATGACATAATCTACTTTAAGCCGTTGAAGTAGTTGGGGTTAAATAATCTTTACAGGTGATCCAGTCCAAGAGTCAATTGAAAGAATTTCAGGTATTTTAAATTCTCTCTCTCTCCCGGGTAGCCAAATCTGTAGGAGATATTCCAAAGGTGACATTTAAAATAGGAAATACGTCACTTTGATCTTTCTCTCAGGTCTAGAATTTTGAGCTGATAAGAAAGGTCACTTCTGTGAGAAGGGAGAACTATTAAAAAGCAATTACAGTCTTGCTGTCGGCCTTTGATTTTTAGCCTTAGAAATGCTGAGAGCCCCTAGAATTGAATATAATCTAAATAGAATTTCCTTCAAAGAGCTCTTTTATAGTTATACTGAGAAGTGAATGTAAGAATCAAGACTATATATCCCTCAGCCATTGACTCTTTCATAAGACTCTTAAGAGAAAAATTTTGTTGAATAATATGAATAACTTTTAAGATAGATTTAAATAGCATGGGATATAACTTTTCAGAAAAAAAATTTGCTGAAAAATAGTTTTCCTGTCAAAGGTACATTTGCATATGCATTGAGCTTTTATGGGTAATAAACCTACCAGTGATTTCCATCTTTGTTCTTGAGCCATTGTTTTTCTACTAATATAGATCACGGATAGAAACGAACAGGGTGAGTGTGGAGAAGGACTCGGGCCCGTGGTTTCCTCATTGGCTTTAAGGTTTTCTCTTCATCTCCTCCCATTTCTTTGACCTAGAGGGTAGATGTCTGATAGAGGAAGGAGGTATGGCTGGGTCATGTTGTCATGGGGGGAGAAAGTAGGGTAGGTATTGGATGAGCGTGTCTCATGGAGAGAGGGATGGGGAGAGGGCTGAGTCTCCAACATGAGAGAGCCCACAGATGTGTATGTAGATAAAGAGGCATATGAACACTGCCACGCATTGCTTCTAATAAATGGGTTATTTGACTACTTCATCATGACTGATGACTGTCAGCTTAAATAGGCCACGTGCTCTTCTGAGACCAATGTCGTGTTTGTGGCCTGTCATCGGCTGAACGGTGACGCACGGCTCTATAGATTCATTCTGGGGAACTGACTTCTGTGGTTACAAAGGGATAATTAAGTCCCAAGATCTGTAGGACAAGTGGGCAAGCTGAGAACCCAGGGTACCTGCTTGGGTGTCATTCAAGGCTGAGTCCCAAGACCTAAGAACCTGTGGTGGAGGGATACTCTGATGGCTGGCAGCCTCGAGACACAGGAAGCTGTGGTATAGCATTCAGGGTTAATTGCAGAAACAAACAAATAAAAAAAGCCAGTGTTCCCATTAGCAGACAGAGACTCTTCCTTATTGGTGACAGGAACTGCCTGTCTTTGTTCAAGTTAGGCTTTAAGTGATTGGATGAGGCCAACACTGAGGAGGGTGACATGCCTCTCCCGGCCTACTGAGTTAATTAGTGGCAGTCAGAGTTTGGATTGTTGGTCCCAGATGTCATGGTTGAGTCATCTCACCTGTTGAAGTGTCTCACATCCTATATGTTGTTTTTCTGAAAGTGTAAGTTCTGTCTTGATAGTTTGTCCTTTTTCAACAGAATGGATTCTCCTTGAGTATCCCATTTCCAGCTCAGGCTTCAACATTAAACTACATTTTCCCATCCACTTAGGCGATGGACAATAAGGATCGTGTATTCTTTTTTTTTTTTTTCCATGCGTGCAGTATCTCTGTTTTGTCACCTTTGCATACAATAATGCTTAGTGTACCCAGATTTGAGGTTCACCTTTCTTCTGTTGTATCTGTCAGAATTTGCCACACGGGACATTAATAATAAAGTTGAAGAATTAAAACGTACTTTATTTGGGGGATAAACTTATTTTTTTTCTCACTGTGTGTGTGTGACCGTGCTATGCTGTGGTGTGCACTATTGGGAATTGGTTCTTCCCTCGGGTTCTTGCATCAAACTCAGGGCATCAAGTGTGTAGGGCAAGTGCTTTCATCCACGGAGCCCTCTCACTGGTCCTTTGTAAATTTTTAATGAAGAAATGCTACCATACATACAGAAGTGTATAGACTTACGCTCAGTTTTTAAGAGCTTATGGAATGGGAACCCATATCGTAGTTATTCTGCAAACCAACGCAGCCTATTTTTTTTTAAACTTTCTACTGTGTCCTTTCTGTTTTGTTCTGATCTGACCACATTATTCTGGAAGGTTTCCTATGTTGTGCTGTGTGGGTAAAATCAAGCACTATTCATCTCATGCATGTCTCAAGGTGTGCCTATCCGGTGTAATGCCGGCAGAGGCTTTGGTATCTGCGGGCTAGGGAAGCCATAGAGAGTCTATGTGAAATTCCTTGTACACATACCTGGTACACACACTTGTGTTTCTGTAAGATAGCTACTAGTGGAGTCACTAGCTCATGGGCTCTATGAGACAATGCCTGATAGTCTCCCACAGTAGTAATGTGGATTTATATGCTGGCTTCAGGGGGAGGTTTCTCAGTGCCAATACTCTATGTTTTCAAACTGGAATTTTTTTATGGATGTGATAAGCAAATAATATGTATTATCTTTAAAACAAAACCATGTTCCTCTAATAACTAAGAAAATCAAACACCTTTTTGTTTGTGTGTTGGAAACTTGGGCCTCATCTTTTATGGCTTTTCAAGGTTTTTCTATCCATTTTGGTTGGGCAGTATTCTGTGATTTCATTCATAGAATTCATTTATCTGTTTGCTAGTTTGTCTTCTTATTCTTCATAATGCATTTTAGTGGCACATGGGTTTGTTAAACTTTAATGTGGTCTGGCCAACCATAATTTAGATTTTATGTGTACTTTAAAAACTTAAGCTGGAGAGACAGCCATGCAGATATGCTCTGTTCCCCAAGTACCTGGTCCACACTGTCCACAGTCAGACAGTTTATACTCCTGTCTCATACTCAGATGTTTACTGATGGCATGTTCTCTTCTCTTCGAGGATTGACCCATAGGGGCCCACAGATGGGGGATGTCCCTTTGTATATATGTTTCTCTTATTGGCTGATGAGTAAAACACCGTTTGCCCAATAGAGGCAGGAAGATAGGTGGGACTAGGAGATGAGGAGAATTCTGGGAAAGGTAGGCAGAGAGAGACGGGGAGGGGATGACGCCATGCAGAGACCGGGAAGATAGGAAGGGCCAGACGCTCTCTGGTAAGATAAGGCCATGTAGAAATACATAGATTAGTAGTTATGGGTTAATAATTAAGACAGAACTAGCCAGTAAGAAGCCCTAGCTATTGGCCAACGGTTTTTATAATTAATATAGTGTCGGTGGGCAAGGAGGCTGTGGGTGCAGGCAGGAAAGAAATCTAGCAACAGCCCACACTCACTAGGTGAGAATACCACATTCCCTGTCTACACTGCTAGTTTATGCTAAACACCCCCTAATTCTTTTACCCTTCCTTGTGTGTCTGGAATGTACTTCATAGGTAACCGGTACTTCTTGGATAACTAGTTCTGTATTTTATATACAGGTATGAAAATCTTCTTCATCCATCTCCTTTGATAAAGCTGTGTGCATTGATGGTGGCCATCAGTCCCGCCTTCTAGTGGTCAGAGTTCTATACAGGCAACTGAGCCATTTTCCTTTTCTATAAGCTGATGAGGGTTGGAGGGATAGCTCAGCCATTAAAGGCTAGGCACACAACCAAAACTGTAAGCTGATGAAAACAGTAATATTAACCAAAGCAGAAAGCGGGCTGCTTAAATTCTACTTGAGAAACCATGCATGTATAGGAGAGTTGGGTTACCACTGACCATTTAGAACTATCCATCTTAGCCTGGTGGTGGTGGCACACACCTTTGATCCTAGGACTTGGGAGACCAAAGGCAGGCAGATCCCTGAGTGTGTTCGAGGACAACCAGGTCTATACAGAGAAACCCTGCCTCAAATAAACAAAACCAAACCGAAACTATTCATTTTATCAGTTGGACAATAAGGCAGTCACTAATTTCCTTTGGAATCTTTTTCTCCTCCCTGAAGGTCCCTCATGTCTATGATCCGGAAACGATCCCACCCCAGTGGCGGCAGCGCTAAGAAAGAAAAGGCAACTCAGCCAGAAACAGGTAAGCCTGGCGTGTGTTCTCTGCTAGAAACAGGTAAGCCTGGCGTGTGTTCTCTGCTAGAAACAGGTAAGCCTGGCATGTGTTCTCTGCCAGAATCAGGTAAGCCTGGCATGTGTTCTTAGCCAGAATCAGGTAAGCCTGGCATGTGTTCTTAGCCAGAATCAGATAAGCCTGGCATGTGTTCTTAGCCAGAAACAGTAAGCCTGGCATGTGTTTGGTTTCCTTTAAGTGGGTGACAGTGGACAGCTCATCAGTAATTGATGTTGGAAGAGAAGCGTGAAGAACAGCCTCACGAAGGAACTCAGTAATGGCAGTTGCCTTCCTATAGCTTATTGTCTAGAGGGGGTCGAGTGTGCACACAAAACTGTCACTACAAGGAGAGTGTTTTAAGAAATATGCTTTTGTTTGGGAACAGGTCATTTGGGGCATGATGGAAAGGGAGTAATTTAGAGAAAGACTTCCCTTATCGTCATGAGAACCAGGGAGTTGAGATCGTATTTAATATCTTATCAGCTATGTACTACTTACAGCATCACATGCTGAACACGCAAGACTCTGAAGTCACATTCCGGTATAAGTAGACATGGCGTGAACAAGTGGCTGTCCATGTAAATGTGATATCATTTGATACACATTTTGGGAAACACTGTGGGAATAAGTGTAGTTGGAGGTTTTTTGTCCCGCCCTGTACCACTGCCAATTATTAAATAATCATTCCGAGACTTGATATTAATTATAATCGTTTGGCCAGTGGCTCAGGCATATTACTGACTAGCTCTCACAATTAAATTAACCCATTTCTAGTATTTTATATTTCACGACAAGGCTCGTGGGGCTTGTTACCTCACATCTCGCTTCCCTGGTACATGACGTCTCCCTGACTCCGCCTTCCTTCTCTCTGAAACTCCACCTAGCTGTATTTTGCTTGGCCATTGGTCAAAACAGCTTTATTCACCAACCAATAAAAGCACTGCATATTCACAGAATATACAGAAGGACCCCCCCCCAGATAAAAGAAGCAAGCATGTATTTCTAAGGAACTATCATGACGGACTGTTCAACATTCAGGTTGATTTGGAACATCAGTGAGACTGGTGTTTGGGGGTGACGTTGCCCAGACAGCACAGTGGCAGGTTCAAAGGTCTGACGCAGGGAAGGAGCCTCTGGTACCGTAAAACCGAACATTCCGCACCTTTGACTCAGGAGCCAGGGAAGAGGTTCCCAAAGCAGTGCTAAAGATGCTGATGTCTCTCTCTTCAGAGTAGAAGTTTGACCTAGGGATGCAGTGAGATATTTACCTTTGCTGACAGTCACTCCGGCTGAAGTTTGGGAAGAACAAAGACAAGAATGGAGACGGGCGGGCAGAGGAATGTTGATGCCTTAGACGGGGAGGCTCACACAGGGTGACAGCTGTCTCGACAGAAAGACGGATTCAGGAAGTAGGCACCTGGCCGTCTAGCTGGGAAGGTAGAAGGCATAGCGTTTGGAGAGTTGTTGGAAATGGAGGTCTGCAGGACTGTGTGAGACGGGCTGGAAGAAGGTCCTGGGCATTGGGCAGAGATGCCCGCGTCTAACTCGGAGTCCACGCACAGAGCTCAGAGGGTAGCAACCACCAGAGGGGAGCTCCGAAACTGGCTAGACCCTGGCCCCTTGTGTCTCACAGTGTTGAGCGCTTGTTCCAAAGCATGCCTGAACTTGCATGACTGCAAACCCAGATCTGTACAAGGTTCTTTCTGACCCCTTTGCCATCTCCAGTCCAGCCATCTGCATCATATTAGCAGTGTGACTTTCATAGGTCACAAGGCTAATTGTTTTATCCCAGGACACGCCTGTGCTTCTCACGGTGTCAGCCTAGAACCTGAAGTCTGTATTGTGCTTACTAAGAGCCCTCTGCTTTCGCTTCCTCTTTGTTCCTCATACGTGTGCCCCCCCACCCGGAGCATCACCTCTTCCCTGGTAGACCCCAGCTCTTTGGCCTTACTCTACTGCTCCTGGAGCACCACCCCTTCCCTGGTAGACGCTGTCTGGAGCACCACCTCTTCCCTGGTAGACCCTGTCTGGAGCACCACCCCTTCCCTGGTAGACCCTGTCTGGAGCGCCACCCCTTCCCTGGTAGACGCTGTCTGGAGCACCATCTCTTCCCTGGTAGACCCTGTCTGGAACACCATCTCTTCCCTGGTAGACCCTGTCTGGAGCACCACCTCTTCCCTGGTAGACCCTGTCTGGAGCACCATCTCTTTCCTAGTAGACCCCGGCTCCTGTGTGGCCTTACTCTACTGCTCTTCCACAAGATACTGTTGGGATTCTGCATCCTCCATGCTGTGTGCCCCCTACTGGCTCCTCTACCCCACCTACTTATTAATATTCATGACCCCCACAAGTGGTTCATTAGCCTGTTCTAGTTTGGTTTCTGCTGTATGATTAAAAAAAAAAACCTGGCCAAATACAATATAGGGGGAGGGACAGGTTTATTTCAGTGTACAGGGTATAGTCTGTCCTTCATGAGGGTCAGGGCAGGAATTCAATCAGGAACTTTCCATAGAGGAAAGCTCCTTGCTGGCCCCTACTCCCCTACCACCCTACCTCCTTATCCCTGTAGCTCTGGCTGGCCCAGAGATCACAGAGATCCACCTGCCTCTGCCTCCCAAGTGCTGGGATTAAAGGTGTATGGCACTGCTCTGACTTAAGTGGCTTTCTTATCATCTGTCCAGGGAATGGTGCCACCCACTGTGGGCTGGGCCCTTCTACATCAATTAATAATTAAGCCAATCCACCATAGGCTAATCTGACCTGGGTAATCAGTTGAGACTCCCTTCTTGGGCAGCTCTAGGTTACGTAGTTGGAGGTTTCTCGTCTCGCCTGCCAGTTCCCAAATAACCACTCTAAGGCTTAACATTAATTGGCAAATGTTTGGCCAATGGCTCAGACATATTACTGACTAGCTCTCACAATTAAATTAGCCCATTTTTTCTATTATTTTATATTTTGCCAGGAAGCTCATGGTTTATCATCTCACACACCTTGCTTCCCTGGCACCTCTCCGACCCTGTCTTCTTTTTCTCTGTAACTTTGTTTGGATTTCCCTCCTGGCTGTATTCTACCTGACCACCGGTCAAAACCGCTTCAGCCACCAACCAATAAAAGCAACACACATTGGCAGCATAATGAAGGACACCCCGCACCCAGGTTGTGTCAAGTTGACAGTTAAAGCTTTAAGTTCTATCGCTTGATGGATTTATCAGCCTGTCTTCAGCTTGTGCTAGGCTCTGGTGTTTGAGTTATTGCCACATATTTCAGTCTGCTCTCTGAGCGAGCTGGTGTGTGTGTGTGTGTGTGTGTGTGTGTGTGTGTGTGTGTGTGCGTGGTGGTGGTGGTGGTGTCTGTACATGCGTGGGTGCAGATATGCAGGCCTGTGTGTGTGTGCAGAGTCTAGAAAACATCAGGTATTCTGATCCATCACTCTCCTCCTTATTTTGTTGAGAATTCTCTTATTGAACCTGGAGCTAGACTGGCATTCAGCAAGGCCCTCGGGTCCTCCTTTGTTTGTCCAACATATTGCCAGGGGCACAGATACTCGGAAGCATACTCAGTTTTTTTGCACGGGCTCTAGGGATTTGAACGCAGGTCCCCGTGCTTATAGAGTGAGTGTTCTTGCCTACTCTTCCATCTCTGCAACCCCCATAATCCCTTTTGGGGAGAGGCAACACTGTTGTCAAGAAATTTCCTTAGTTTTATAGCGTGTCGATCAGTTCTAAACTCATTCAAACAACATACCCTTTCAGTTTTTAACATCACGGTGATATATGGTGGCTTGGTTTTTAATGCCTTCTTATAAAATATAGCAAAACTGGGAAGTAAAAAGGAATTTCATTTCTTCTTGGTACTAACTAGAGATTTGATTGAGTAGCAAGGTGATGGTTTTTGCCTGTTGGCCTCTCTCTCCGTCTGTCTCTCTCTGTCTCTCTGTCTCTCTGTCTCTCTGTCTCTCTCTCTCTCTCTCAAAGATCTAACCTATTTTCCAATTGGGTCTTAAAATTTAAGCCCCAATTAATTACACATAGCTTTCTGATCCAAGATTGACCTTGAAGCACTAACTCAAAGAACCTTTGATTTTTTTTTTTGCCCATAGCAGTTCAATAACATTAGACCTGTTGTCTTCATTAGTCCCTTTTCTCTAATCTCCAGCATCCTGCATATTTCCATTGTCCCTCTGATTACACGCTTTTGTGAGACAATTACCAACTGTGTGATTGTGGAAAGAATTACAAAACATACCATGAGCGCTCCGTAGGTGATTCGTGCCAGTTTATTAGAACTGCTTAATAGTTCAGAAGTTCATATAGATTGCTTTTTGCTATTTCAAAAACAGGTCGGTGAGACGAAGAAAGCGTGTGCAGCTAGCTCGGGGCTGCCCTTGTGTTGTGCCTGAGTAGGGAATCTGATAAGAGTGATTTCTTTTTCTTAAGACCAATTAAGCCTTTATATTTGGGGAAAAGGGGCTGAGAAATTAAAGCCTGGTTTATAATCTGTGCACAATACAGATAGTGGCACTTCTCTGAATTATCACTATGATTCTGGCAAGCGAATATAAGGAACTACTTTAAATTCCTGCTGGTAGATGCTGTAGCAGATTTGAATGGTGTGGCCCCGTAATTCTCCATCTGTCTGCCTTAATTAGTTTTTGTATGGTGCATTTAATTGGGTTGCAGTCGTTCCTTGCAGAGTGCTAATCTGTTTGTAGGCGGTGTTCCTTTTGCCACGCAGCTCTTCCTAGTCTCACTCAAAATGGCAGCCTTTCTGAAAAACAAAATGAAGACAAAAACCAAAAATAAAAAAGGGGGGGTGTTTTGAAGCTGATTTTTGAGTTCCCAGGACTAGTTATGTCCTGTGCCAGGTGCTTATGTACAAGACCTGATTTTTATTCCCTTTGAACGGGGTCAGAAAAGCACTATGTTCGTACGGTAGATGTTTGGATATCAAGGGAGTGAGTGAGAGTGAATTTCTTATCTGCCCTCTAGTAGATATTTGTGAGCCATCAGAATAAATTCCCCGCCCCCACAAAAAAATTGCTGTTTAAGGGCAGATAGTTGACCAACCCCAAGCATCCAACATTTTTCATTTGTTGGTAAGTTCTAACTTTGGTGACTGTGTTTCCCATATTGCCTAGTTCACGTGACGTTTGCTACACTGATTGTCAATTCAACAAGATCTAGACTCTCCCAGGAACAAACTTCTGGGCACTCCCAAGAAGTTGTTTCTGGATTAGGATAGTGGAGGTGAGAGGACCCATCCTATGTGTGGGTAGTGCTGTGGGACTCTGGGATGGATAAAAAGGAGAAAGCAAACATTCGTCCTCTGCTCTCTGACTGCAGTGTGAGCAGTGGGCTCGCACTCCTGAAGCCTGGACTTCCCCGAAGTAATGGACTTTACTCTGGTACCGAGCTCAAATAACCCTTTCTTCCTTCCTTAGGTGGCTTTTTTTCAGATACTTTGTCGCAGCCATGAGAAAAGTAACTAAGACATCTGTCAAATGATGATGTTTTGTTCTGAAACATGTACCACAATAAGACATTTTAATTCTTAGCTTTTCAATAGCTTCTGAGGACAAGATTTTCTTTGAAGTCAGATGATACTTTTGAATGTAGCAATGATGCAGCCATTGATGCTACAGAGTTGAGGGTCAATGGAAACTTCTAAATTCTGATTGTTTTCTTAGATGAGGAATAGCTACCCAGGGGCCACATGAGGTTTTTCTCAGGATGCAACCCATGAGTTAGGCGTGAAACTAGCACTAATTAGTTTTAGGATACTCTGTGGTCTCCTTTGTCTAGAAGGCAGCCTTTGTAGGGCTGAGGTGTCTCTACTCAAAAGTACAGATAAAACATCCGTCTAAAGCCTAGACTTCGGAAGTCAACCAGAAGAGACCCTGCAGATTAGGCAGGTCTCTATGGAACCTAGCTTTGATATATCATCCGAAGGAAGCTCACCAGGAATAAATATAGGTATAAAAGCCCATCAATGGTGACAGGTGTTCCAAAGCGATTCCACATCTCCAGTCAAGCAAGTCTAAGAGAAAAAGAAAAAACAAAACAAAACAAAACGTCAGCAGGTTTCATTTTAACTCATTTGTATCTACAAGCATGAAGAACTGAGTTCAGATCCATAAAAAGCAAACAAAAACTTTTGCATGCCTATAGCCTCAGCATTGGGGACGATCAGAGAAAGGCAGATTCTAAGAGCCTCCTGGCTGGCTGGCCAAGCCAGATGACAAGCTTCAAGTTCAGTGAGAGACCCTGTTTCAAATAAGTAAGGTAGAGACAAGAGAAGAATATACCTGGCATCTTCTTATGGCCTACGCACACACACACACACACACACACACACACACACACTTCTTCTGGCATACACATACACACACCTCTCACACACACACACATCTCTCTCTTTCACACATAAACTCTTCTTCTGGCCTACACACACACACACACACACACACACACACACACACTTCTTCTGGCATACACACACAAACCTCTCACACCCACACACATACACACACACATCTCTCTCTCACACACATACACTCTTCTTCTGGCCTACACACACAAACCTCTCACACCCACACACATACACACACACATCTCTCTCTCACACACATACACTCTTCTTCTGGCCTACACACACACACACACACACACACACACCTCTCTCACACCTCACACACACACTCTTCTTCTGGCCTACACACACACACACACACATACACACATCTTTCTCACACACCTCACACACACATACTCTTCTTCTGGCCTACACACACACACACACACACACACACACACACATACACACGAAGTTGGACAGTAGGTGTTCTGAATTTGTTATACGTAGTAGGTAAGCACTTTCCTCCACAGCTACACCTAACTCTGAACGCTGAAATTCGTAATCACATTTAATCGCTTCATTTCGGTTACTGCTGAGTGCATGTTTGTTATTTTTAAAACATGGGCAGTTTTAAAAGACCTGAAGAAAGGTTTGTTTAAATGTTCCCTTTCCGCATAATTCCTAAACAAAAGATGGGATTAAAAATAGGTTTGCCTATTTGCAGTTTGTCTCTTGATCCTTTCCCATAAAGAGGACATCTCCTAACCAGGCAGTGGTGGTGCATGCCTTTAATCCCAGCATTTGAGAGGCAGAGGCAGGTGGATATCTGAGTTCAAGGCCAGCCTGGTCTGCAGAGCAAGTTCTAGGACAGCCAGGGCTGCACAGACGGACATCTCTTCAATCTCCTCTTTTAGACAGGCTTTTGTTTGCTTTCTTTGACATATGGGATGCTATAACTTATAAAAAAACATCCTGTGGCACAAGTGAATGATTTGGGAAAAGAACAGAGGAGCATTTCTGAAAAACCTGCAGGGGGCTGGAAAGATGGTTCAGTGGGTTAGAGTACTTGGCATGAAGACCTGAGTTCAGATCCCTAGCACCCACTTAAAAAACAGGGCTTGAGGGCTGGAGAGATGGCTCAGAGGTTAAGAGCACTGACTGCTCTTCCAGGGGTCCTGAGTTCAATTCCCAGCAACCACATGGTGGCTCACAACCATCTACAATTCAATATGGTGCCCTCTTCTGGCATGTAGGCAGAACACTGTATATGTAATAAATAAATAAATAAAAATTAAAAAAAAAAAACAGGGCTTGACTATACTAGTGCCTGTATCACCACACTGGGAGGTGGAGATAGGTGGAGGAGATAGGTGGAAGATTGCTGGGGTTCACTGGCCACCAGGTGCCTAGCCCCAGGTTTTGTAAAAGATCCTGTCTCAAAGGAGAAACATGGATAGTGACACCCACTGTGACACCCAGTGTGCTCCTATGGTCTTATCCCCCAGACATAGACAGATGGACGGATGGACGGACACACGCACATGCGTGCACACACACGTGGGAGTGGGGAGGGGACCTGGAGATAGCCACGTCTCCAAGTTTTAGTCTTGTGTTAATGAATGAATCAAATCTATTTTGTTTCTCATAGGTGAGAAGCTATTGATTTCCATGCTACAAACTTGACTTTGACTGTTATAATTCTAAGTGCTCTGATAAGAAATTTTTCTTATTTAAAAAAAAATACATCACTTAAGAGTTTCCACAGAGTAGCTGCTACCCATGGCGAATTATTGGTGTTCCGCCACCGTCTGAAGAAAAAAGAAATGATTTCTATTAATTTACACAGCACAGTGTCTCCAAGTAACCAGAAAGAGTAATTAGCTGTTTCTTATAACCTAGATGATTTCTGTCTGTGTTCTTCGTGCAGCTGAGGAAGTCACAGACCTGAAGAGACAAGCCGTGGAAGAGATGATGGACAGGATTAAAAAGGGGGTTCATCTTAGACCAGTTAACCAGACTGCCAGACCCAAGGTGAAGGTGTGTGCAGCTATGCATTTCTGCCCTCTCGTCTCCCTTCCTGTACATGGGGGATGTGGGGGGGGGTATTTTGTCTGTGCACTGTGCTCGTGTCTGGTATCCAAGGAGGCCAGAGTTAGGGTATCAGAGTCAGTCTCTGGAGTTGGAGTCACAGGTGGCTGGGAGCTGCTAAGTGGGTACTGGAAGTCCAGCCCTGGTCCTCTGAAAGAGCATCCAGCGCTCTTAGCTGCCCAGACATCTCTCCAGCTCCCTCCTTTAAAAAAATGTAAAAGTTTGGAATTTGATGAAAGCTAGCTACGTCTGTACTGACTGCCAAGGCTTGGAAGACTAATGTGCCCCAAAAGCTTTCTCTTCTGTATGAGCCTGTTTTGAGGGGACTCGGCGATGCCAGGTAAAGCCTAAAGTGGTTTGGAAAGTGTGCTTGTTTTTTTGTCCAACCTTGCCATCTCTTCCAGAGGGGTGCCGATGGACATCATCGAAGCAGACAAGTAACAGTTGCTATTCCCACTCCCCCTCCCTTTTTTTTTTTTTTTAATTTCTTGTTACCTTGTTACCTGAGTATCTACTCTATGTCAAATACTGTTGTGGGCACTGGGGAGAAGGCAGACAACACCCTTGCCTCCCTGAGGCTTCAGTGTGTGTGTGGGGGGCAGGGAACCACACAGTAATAGTGCAGGAGAACTAAGGCCAAATAGAACAGGTAGGCTAAGCTGGTTCGCCTTCGTGCCAGCAGCTGCCTCCCAAGTAGCACCTTGAGGGGATCCATACCTCGAGCCCAAGGTGGGCCTCCCTCCCTCCCCATGACTGTCTATCACATTCAAATAGGCCCAATAATAGTTTTTGAGATTTCTCTAGGAAAAAAAATATATATCCTGTCTTTCCTCACTCCAATGAGGCGTGGACAGACTTTTCCCCCCCTTCTTGGCCATCATACTCCACAGGCTGGCTTCCGTTTTCCTTCCAAGATTGCTTCTCTTTTGTCAGTGTGTGTGCGTGTGTGTGTGTGTGTGTGTGTGTGTGTGTGTGTGTGCATGAATGCACATCTGTTCATTTGTGCAGATGCTCACGTCTGTGGATGTGCATGTTCATGCATGTGTGGAGAGATGAGGGAAACCTGAGGAGTCTCTGTCACCTGGGTTTTTTGTTTTGTTTTGTTTTGTTTTGTTTTTTGTTTGTTTTGAGACAGTTGATTAAGTCAGGCTGGTTGACTAATGAGCCACAGGGATTTTCCTGTTTCCACTTCCCCAGGGCTGGGATTATAAGCAAGCACCGCTGTACCAAGCTCTTTTCAAATGAGTTCTGGAGATCAAATCCAAGTCCAGGTGCTGACAAGACAAGAACTTTACCACTGAAGCCTTCTCCTCAGCCCCAAGGCCAATCCCCTTTAACTTCTTGAATGCCCAGTGTGATGACTTGTACCTCTAAAGTTGCCACTTGGTCACCAGCAGACAAGACAGCCAGGCAAGGCAGGAGAGGCCATGGTGACCTTGATTTGGGAAGAGGGAAGTTTCACTCACAGAGCAGAGCAGATTCTCATCTGGGTAGCCCGGAGTTTCAGTCAACCATGCCCAGGAGTTTCAGCCAACCATGCTATGGAGATCTGGAAGCAGAGTTCCAAGCAGAGGATGGTGGAAACAGAAGAAAGCTGGGTAGAATGATCCTGCAGACAGTTTGGATGCCGAAGCTCCTGCCAGCCCCAGCTGTATGTGACTCAATGGATCTCTTGTAGACCAGGCTGGCCTCAAACTCACAGACATCCCCCTGCCTCTGCCTTCTGAATGCTGGGATTAAAGTCTAGTGCCACCACCGCCCGACCGAAAATACAGTATTGTAATACAATCAAATTAGTGTAGAGTGAAAATGTTGAGCTTGGTGTCATGGTTCATCCTAGCACTCAGGAAGCCTGGGAAGGAGGAGTTCCATGGGTTGCCATTTTGGGTAAGATCCTACCTGAAACAAAACAAAACAAAAACAGATAGCATCTTAAAAGTCACACTGTTCCTTGTCTCCTCTCAGCCTCAGGTCACCTTTCCCCTGCTTTCTTCTCTTGCAACAATTGAACCCTATTCCCTGTTTGCTCAAAACCTGAAAGGGAGCTGAGCGAATCAGGGGACCGCTGGGCTTCCGCTGGCTGCCAGCAGACTGTGTAGGTGGGGCCTGCAGTGGCCTCTGTGGACCTGGTCGGCAGGTGTACTTGGGTCCAAACCTCTTCCCCCAGGATCACCGGCCCCAGAATGCCACAGTCAGCAGCCAGGACCATGCAGGTGCACGGCAGAACTTTTGAGTATTCCTTTAGGCAGGGCGTTGGTCCAAAAGACACCGCTGTCATGTCAGTTTTCCTAAGAGAGGAAGCCTGTCTTGAGGATAATTATTCTCTGGCCCATTTTCCAAATCTCTTGATATTGCAGCTAGGCAGAACTGGCCTGGATGAAATTAGTATCTTAGAGCTTATGTCTGACACCGAGGGGAGAGCTCACTACTCAGAAAACACAGGCTGTGAAAGTTTAATGGCAGCACCTGATTTCGTCCTCGTTTTGAAAAATAGAAATGGGAATAGAAATAAATTTTTTATTATATTCCTGTGTGTGTATATATGCGTGTGTGTGTGTGTGTGTGTCTGTCTGTCTGTCTGTCTGTCCGTCCATCCGTCCGTCCATCCAGTCCGCACGTAGTGGGAATCAGTTCTTTCCTTTCACCACGTGGGCCCAGAATTGAGCTCAGGTTGTCAGGGCTTCATAGCTCCAGCAGCCAGGGGTGTTAACATTCTCCTGTGGGCGGTGGTGTCCTCCTGAGGTATTTGTCCTCCATCTGTCAGCTGGCCTTTCTGGAACTAAGACAGGCGTGGGAATTCTTTGCCCAGGACTTGTTTTCTGTTTGCACAGTCTTCCCACTCACTCGTTGCTGGCAGAAGTCTAAGTAAGCTCTGTCTAAGAACAGCTTGTTACTAAATTTTCTGACAATTTTGAATCAAATCTTCAAAATCTAGCATTTACCAAATCCTTTTGTAGATAGAACGATACCCACGGGGGCAGTGTAATATTTAGAAGAAGGTGGCCTGAATCTTTTTGCTTTAAATATACTTTCTATTTTTTTTTTTTTTTACTCAGTGGCTACCTGAAAACATTGAACTATCCACCCCCGCCCTCCCCGGTCTTAGGGGGAGGAGCTGATATAAAGCATAGAACTCTAGGAGTCAGAAAGGAGGCTCAATAGGAGTGCTTTCTGGGCAAGCATGAGGACCTGAGTCCACAAACACCTGTAACCCCGGTACCTGCACAGGGTAGGGGAGGCGTTGGAGAGCCTGGGGGGCAGAACAGAGTGCAGAGATGGGGAGGATCAAGGAGGCTTGTTGAGTGTCAGCATCGCCCAAAACCAAGCTCCATGTTTGGCTGGGAGACCTGTCTCAAAGGCGCAAGGTGCCGATCAACAAGGGAGGACGCCTACTGTCCTGTGCCCACGGTTGTATGCTCTTGTGCACAAACATGAGCAAAGACACACATGCCCTCCCCCCCCCCAAAGATCACCAACTACTTAATCACATACAAGATGGCTCAGTGAGTTAGAACACTGCCAACAAGCCTGATGACCCATATTCGATTCCTGGGACCCACAGGGTGGAAGAAAAAAATCTCGAGCAGGTTGTTCTCTCCCTCCCCAATTCCCCCGCCCAACACACACACACACACACACACACACACACACACGCACGCACGCACGCACGCACGCACGCACGCACGCATGCATGTATTTTAAATCTTCCATATTTTAAGACCAGATCAGTAATTTCTGTTTTCCCCTTCTGAATTGCAGCCAGACTCTTTAAAGGGCTCCGAGAGCGCAGTGGATGAGCTGAAGGGAATACTGGTAAGAATCCCTGTTTGTGTGGCGGAAGAATGTTTTCCAATCTGATCTCATGGATAGATTTTTTTGGGGGGATGTGTGTTTTATGTGCGTTGATGATGAGGGTCATTTCTTCCACCTGTTTACTGGAGTGTGCCTACGGCTGCCTCCAGCGCATGTATCAAATGCCCCTGCACTCCAGTTCTAACAGTGCAGCCGGAGGGTCCAGTCTCCCGCCCTCAATGAGGACCAGCTCCTGTCTCTGAAAACAGAGGGGAGTGTCTGCATTGAGGGAGGAGACTGGAATGCCTGGCACTTATACCAGGTAAACCCAGCTTCCAGCCCATGACGGCCTTGCATTGAGGAGGGGGCAGCTCCCATCTGCTGTTCCTCAAACGCAGCCCTGGCTGGCTTGGAACTTGAAATGACCTTGCCTCTGCCTTCCAGGTACTGGGATTACAGGGGCGGGGGCGGGAGGCCCTCCCCACACCCATTTTATAGGATGCTGGTGATGCATACCGAGGCTTCAAGCCCACTAGGCAAGCACTGTGTCAGCTGAGTTAAGTTTCCAGTCCCGTGAAAAAGTCTTTTGTGTCGCCAAGTTTCAAGCTCAGAAAGTACCCTCTGCCTGCCGGTGAGCATGCATCCTGCCCACCTCTGTCCCCGTATCTCTTTTTCCAAGTGGGAGCCGTGGCTGATGGGATCGCTGTTGGCTACCCTCTCCAACAGTCTGAGCCCTACTTCACACCCCATTCCAGCCAATGCTAGCTAGTTATTATGCATCCTAAGTCAACAAACATGGGGGGGGGCGTTGGAGGTGTAGGGAGCAATCCCTCCCCTGTTTGTCTGTTTGTTGTTGCTGTACCAATTAAGCATCACATGTAGACATCCACATAATGACGGTAAACAACGTTATTTTCATCAAGAATGGCTTTACGCAGTAGACTTCACGCAGGACGGCCTAATTAGTTTTCTTTAGTTTTAAGTGAGTGGGATTAGCCCTGAGGAGTGGTGTATCACTGGCTAACAGTGGTGGTCTACCTACAGAATCAAGGATTAGAACACCCCTGACAAAGGGTGCAGCTATTACCCCATGGATCCTATGATGGGAAGGTTTTTTCTTTTTTTCAATCCCGGGTTCTGCCCCCTGAGACAGGCCCCTTTTGTTTCTTCTTATTCTGATGCTAATTCCTGTGGTTGAAGAAGTCCCTGGGGCCTTATGAGAGGGTAGAATAGTTCTGATGTCTAAGAGTCAGTCGTATTGTTTGACTTATTAAAAACGTAGCTTATTGAAACATCTGTGTGAGATAATACTTCACCACGAAAAGAATACATCAAAGGCGCATGGCGCTGGATGGTAGCCAGTTTAATAAATTTAGCATCACTGTGTTTGTGTGTGTGTGTGTGTGTGTGTGTGTGCGTGCCTGTGCTTAAATATTACTTTTCAGCATGATATTCACTGTAATTTTTTCAGGATAACATTCACTATAATTTTATATCATTTCATGTAGAGAGATTTCTGTAATTATTTATGACTTGTGAAAAATATTTCTAAAAACTCTTTCACCCTTGTCCTGGGTTTGTTCTTAAACCTCTGCCTTTTCTGATAATCATGCATCACTAAATAGTAATGAGTCTGGAAATAATTTTTCTTTGTGTTAATATTTTTGTTGTTGGTTTTTGGTTTGTTTTTTTTTTTTTTAAAGAATGGACTCTGGTCCTAGCCCTCTCCCCCCTTTGCCAAATGGCAACTCTTTTCTGTCCCAGCAGGAGTTTATTTGAGGGGTGGTCCCAGAATCTGGGGCCAAGAAACCACCTCCATTCTTGTGTGGGAAAAAGTAGGCCTCCAGTGCAGTGTGATTCTGGGTGTCTCCTGCTGGAGTCCCCTCTAATAGGATCATCAGTTAGTTCTGAGAAAAAAAGCACAGGCACCAGCCTGGTGGTCATGACAGGTCAGAAGCAAGCGCTGCGTTGGGATCTGTAGTGATCCTCAAGTCCCAACCTCAAGGATGAACTGAGCACCTGTACCAGGAGACACATGGATAGGTGTCTGAACCTCCTAGGGTACAGAGAAGGGAAGAGCTTCATGGGGGGGGCACATTTCTGCTAACAATGACTGTAACCCACCGTTACAGAGCTTAGGACTATAGAGAGACATTAGGTATATAAATCTCTGGCTGGGGAGAACCGGAAAACTTACTCTATTTTTCCTTGTGTGCAGTTTCCAAGCCAGCTTTTAGAGTGCCAGTATCGACTGAACTCATTTTTCCAAACTCATAACATCACCTAGTTTTTCAAGCTGGACGTTTTAAATGTAAAGCACACACCGGCCCTTCCTCGTGTTCACGTAGACTGTCTAAGGGTTAGGAAGTGGAGGCTCTGGAGGCACGCCGCCGTTTAAACACCGCTGTGTGGGGCACTGGCGACTCCCAAAGAATGGACAGGTACAGACTGATCTGCATATTTCTTCTGGATATCAGAGGGATAAGAGAGGTGTCATACCATCCTGAACAGTTGTTGACCGGTACACATTTGTCCTACGGCAGCTGTTAGTCTGGTGACATTTTTAACATTCGGGGTACTTGGAGACTAAGACTGCTGAGTGACCTTGGTGATTTCAAGTAGTTAGACTCTGGGGTTTCGATCTCCATTGAAAACTCAGGCTTATCTCTGGCTTACTGTGGGACCTACCACTGCCCTGAGCCTTGCTGGGTTCCATTGCTTGTAAAGTGAGGTAACTCTGTGTACCACATGGCTTCTGAGCCAACTTCTGACTGGTGTAGGAGTCCAGTGGAGAAGTAAAATATAAGAAGTAGGATATTCTTAGGAGCTGAATCCACAGAGTCATGCAGAAATGCTCTGTCCTCCAGTGGCTGATGCCTCTCAGCTTGGCTCATGCATAAGCTGAATCCATCAATTCAGTCATGGATGTTCAAAGATGAGCATAGATGTTCAAAGCTGTTCACAGATGAACAAAGAATGGGGGGTTCTACGTGTTAGGACTTGGAAAGAAGATTCTCTTGGCACCTGGCTCATCACAGCCTGGATTTGGGGGGAAATAATGCTGTTATCCAAAGGGAGAGCTGAAGGATCATGCAAAAGATAAATCTATTAACAGTAGATAGCATGTACTTTCCTTTCCAACAGTCATTTCCTTTGGGGGGAAAAATCATACGGTGGCCTTGAGAGCCAAACAATGTGACTGCTCTGTAAGTTATTTTCATAGTGAGAACCGTACAGTTTTTAAATAGCTACTCACAAGTGTTTCAAATGGTAAGTTTCCTGGAAGCTTAAATAGAAATAACGTGGGGATACTTGTTCTTTGTGTTCTTTTCAAGTGTGTGGAAAGTGGCCATTCATTCTCTTTAATTTCCAGGAACAATTGTGTCTCGCTGTGTTTCTCTAGCAACAAGTAGATAGAGACCTACAACCCAGTGAACCAAATCATCTCACTTCTAAACTTAAATAAGCTGTTATAAAATTACACGTCATTTTCTTTCTGGATATTTTTGTAAACCTTTGCAAAGAGTGGAAAGCAAAATGTTACATTTCCAGGGGGAAGAGCGTCACAGGCCCAAATAAAGTAAGAGTCGTCTCCAAACATGTCAGGCATCGATTTAATTAGGCATCCGACAGTAACCGCAATCCCCTGATCTTGTTGGCCACCCCACTCCTTGTCTGTATCTGTAAGCAGGTGTGGTCCCTGCTTAATATAATGCAAACATCATGGTGACATTTCCTATGTGAGATTTGTAACTATCTGATTTTCACAAGGAACTTTTTGTTATTCTATGGTCTAGAGAATTACCGTGTCTATACAATAGGATTCTGAGAATCCTTCCAGAAGCAGGAAAGCTAGGAGGAATAGAAATAAAAGCAATTAGCAGAGGCTGGGGTGGCTCCAAGCCTTGCTGAGCAAAAGCCGCTTCTCACCCAGATGCGAAGTCGGGCAGGCTGATGCTTTTTCCTCTGATTAGGTCTTCCGGTCTCCCCAGCCCTCACTTATGGCACAGCCCAGGGAGAAGCCCTTTGGTGAAAGTCTTGTTCCCGATGAGCTACACGCTCATCCCTAAGTGAGGAGCCACTGTGTCCTGTTCAGGCACTCCGGTGGAAAAGGAGGTGGGAAGCTACTCTTCCCTCGGGCATAGACTTCAAGAAGGGGAAACTGTGATGACTCCGGTCTTTGTCTTCTTAGAAAGCCAAGGCCGGTTTCAGGAGGAGCTAGCCTGGTGGCCTCTTGTTGCCTGCAGTATGTTCCGGGCACTGAAAGAAAAAAAGACGCATCTGTGTTCTTGTCTGTCAGGACGCTGGACGTCAGTCCATCCCTGTAGGACCACAGCTTTCCTCTCCCACACTACTGTGAAGGTGGCTCAGCCTGGTCTTTCTGCAGTAGACCACTGGGGACCCCTTCTGTGTCTGCTACTTCCCAGCCACAGCACTGCCCCCTGGTGTGCAGCCAGGGTGACTCACTGGGTCACAGGCCACACAGCTCTCTAACTCTGAGAGGAGAATTGTGCTCAGTAGTTCATGACTGCTGTCTGAAGATGCCCTTCCAAGGTGAGTGGAATGCACCCGTTTTCCTCCTTGGTGGACCAACGTCAGCGTCTTCGTTACCGGTGGGCAAGTATCTCCCTCCCGGGTTGGCCTTTACAGTCAAGCCCCTGAGAGCTACTCTTCTGATTTGAGGCTCCTGTGTCCACCATCCGGGGGTGTCTCTTTGGATACTTTGTGTCACTGAGGATTCGTGTGCACATAGGAGAAACCCATTTTACATCCGTGTGTAATTTGTTTCGTTTCCTAACTCCGTTCAGATCTTGACGGTGTTCTGTTGTTTCGCATTTGTTTTTATGTTCTTTTGCATATTGTATATTAACCCTTTTTGTTTTTGTTTTAGGGGACACTTAACAAATCCACTAGCTCGAGAAGCTTAAAATCCCTTGGCCCCGAGAACAGTGAAACTGAGTTAGAGAGGATTTTACGTCGCAGAAAGGTGACGGCAGAAGCTGATAGCAGTAGTAAGCCGCTTCGAATTCTCCACCACCCTTCTCTCCTCCTTTAAACCCCTTTAGCAAGAGATTGTCTTTCCAAAATGAGTCTTAAATGTTTAGGTTTGTTTTAATGTGAGTGAGAAGTAGTGGATAGGCAAAGAGTGTCTGTGACACCTCGTGGGTGCTCACGCAGCCATCAGCACCATTATCGCAGGTAACCCAGCATTTGTAGATCTGACACCCAGGGCAAAGCCCCATATACAGACATTATCGCAGGTAACCAAGCATTTGTAGATCTGACCTGGTTAGTCATGAGACACCCAGGGCAAAAAGCCCCATATACAGACATTATCGCAGGTAACCCAGCATTTGTAGATCTGACCTGGTTAGTCATGAGACACTCAGGGCAAAGCCCCATATACAGACATTCAGGGTGGGTTTTTTTTTTCCATGAATGTGTACGCAGTATTTCGATCATATTCACCCTAGTTTCCTGCCCGCCTCTCCTCCACCAATCTTCTTTTTCTGGCTTGTCACCCATCATGGAGTTTTGTTTGTTTGTTTTTGTAGTTTGGCTGTTCACACGTATCATTGCCACTGTGTACAGGGGCGTCAGTGAGGGGGGGGGTTATTTACAGGAACATGGGCAGCCGACCGGTGGCTGTGCTGCCCAAGAAAATGTCTCCTCCTTCTCCAGGAGTCTCTAACTGCCAATAGCTCCTTAGGGAGAGATGGACCCCAAACCCTTCCCCGTCAGGATGGATTTTGTCAACAACACATCACCAGGTAGAGGTTCTGGAAGCAGGCACCTGAGTTTCAAGCCTGTCATTTGCCCATCGCTTGTCCTTAGGCTAGTGATTCAACCTGCCTGTGCCTCTGTTTCTCCTCTGTGTGCCTGTAATGGCTTTGTGACATTATTCTCAAGATGAAGTAAGCCAGCACATGGAAACTGCCCTCCCCCACCCCCACCCCCTCGGCCTGGCACAATTTGCAGTTTTAGTGGGAATCACACCTCAGTGAAAACAAATGCAGAGAAATCATCTTCAATCTTCATACCCATTCCATCCATGAACCTGACTGTGAACCACATTGAGGGGGAGGGGGGACTCCAGCTCTGCCACCAACTTCGAGCTCGCTGTCGCCCTTAGGTGCTTGAGCTACGTCATCACCCGTGTAGACTTTGGGTGGATGCAGTTGTCTGAATGGCTTTGGTGATGCCAATTAGCCAAAACCTTTATGAAGGTTTCACATTGGAGCTAGCAAGGAAGCTGGCTCTGAAAAAAAAATCATGGCAAAGAAAAACAGCAACCAGAGGTACCGGGCTGAGAATTTTTTTTTTTAAGACTCAGCTTGATCAGAAACAGTCCATTGGAACATTTCAGATCTATAAAACGTTGAGTCATGCAAGAATTTTGTTTTAAAGACAGGGTCTTGCTGTGTAGCCCAGGCTGTCCTTGAACACACGCAACCCTCCTGCTTCAACCTCCCTAGGGCTGGCATTATCGGCATGACCCACCCTGCGTGGCTGGACTTGTTAGACTATCCACAATGGAATTGTGGTGGTCAAACTCTGCTTTATATGAGGATTTGCTTAACTGAGTGACTCCTCCAATCAGAATTGGGCAAATAAAGCCACCCAACTTGTAATAAGCATGTGAGTGACCTGAAGAGACAGTTGTCTACTCCCCGAGTTTGATCCCCAGAACCTACACTTTCAAATCCATGATTTGTAATCCAGTGATGGGAAGATGGACCCAAGCTGATCCCCACACTGGACAACAAGTTGAGCCTTCTGAGTGAGCTCTAGGACAGTAAGAGACCCTACTTCAAAACAGAAGGAATGGCATTGACATAAAAATGTTAAGTATTTAGTTTGGTCTGAAAACTCTACTGGTAAATATTACATAAGGACTTCCCACCTAGCAAATGACCCAAAAGGGAAATTAAAGGGGGTACTCGAAGACATTGTTTCTGTTGCTTTGCCAGCACTCAGGCACCTTACCTCATCCTTTGGGTAGCTTGGGACCTCCGACAGCCTTCCCAGAATCCACCTGAAGGTTCTCCTGTAGGTCTCTCTAGGCTTTATTCCATGGAATTTTTACTGCTGTGATTTTTTTGTTTGTTTTTTGGTTTTTTTGTTTGTTTGTTTGTTTGTTTTGAGACAGGGTTTCTCTGTATTGTTTTGGAGGCTGTCCTGGAACTCGCTCTGTAGACCAGGCTGGCCTTGAACTCACAGAGATCCACCCGCCTCTGCCTCCCTAGTGCTGGGATTAAAGGCGTGCGCAACCACCACCGCCTGTCTAGTACTATGATTTTTATTGTGCATTTTGCTCCACACCTTCTCCTTTCTCCAGAAACATTTTCCATTCATTAAGTCAAACGCATGTATCACTCACTGCTTCAGAGTTCAGTAGAGTCAGGAGGATCAGAAAGTTGAGGCCAGCCTCAGCTACACAGTAACTTGGAGGCCAGCCTGCACTACATGCAAGCCTGTCTCAATGTTTTCTTCAAACCACGAACAAAGACATATGATCTGCCGTTGGTGAAGTAGACAGTCAGTGCATACTGAGGGTTGAGTTGTAAATAAGCAGAATTTTTTTGAGCTTCCTAATAGCCAAGGGAGAAGCAAAAGGAACATGAAATCTGACAAGCTTTTGCTCACGATCTTTAACAAACAAACAAAACCCATTTTCCAAGCACCAAGCGGACAGCGTTTGTCATGTGAAAATTTCCCTAAATCTCATGAAATGACAACACGAAAATTCCACGAAGCCGGAACGATGAAGCAGCTAAGCCTACCAGGCCCGTGACAGGAACCAGTGGGCGGAGATAAGTGATGCACAGGGTTAGGCCTCTTACATATGGCCTTTGACATTGCCCTTGCACATTAAGACTCGTGGGAAATAGGGGGAGGGAACAAGGGGAGTAGCTGGGCTACTCCAGGAAGTAGCTGGGCTTCTGTAGACCCAACCTCAAGTTGTTGTGTAGCTATGCTTTCCTGGGACTCACTGCTGTTACACACACACACACACACATACACACAAACACACACACCCCAGCCACATAGCCTGCCAAGCTGACATGTCAGGGAGCAGCAAGAGGTCCCGGGGAAGCACAGGGTGCAGTGATCACCATCACAAACGTCTTCATTTCTTTTTGTAGGTGTGGGGGGAAAAATGGGAGCCCCCGGCTCGCCACCCTCCTTTTTAAGTAGCTTGAGACGTAGAAATAAGCAGCAAGCGTTGACACATTCAGAAAGAGATCCTTCTGACAAGGACAGACTGCTTAACACCGTCTAGTGCTGCAGTCGAGTTACCCAAGGACAAAACACCTGAGATGAGACAAATAGTGAATTAGACTTCATATCCCTGTCTCCCAGAAGCCTCTTTGCTTGATCTTTCTGCCCTTCTCTCTCTGTCTTCCGTATCCCCCGTGCAACACAAGGCTTAACGTAGCTTGGAGGAATGGGCCTTTCCACCCAGAGCACTCAGGACAACCCCACCCTGTCTGCGGGGAGTCAGAAAGTCGCACACCAGACAAGAGTGGGTCTGTGTGTGTCTTGGAGTCTAGCTAAGGGAGTCCGGTAGAACTGCTGACCCAAATTTTTCAGTCCCTCTTAGGTAGGTTTTTTTAGACAGATCCATAGCCACCGGAAAGAATGCAACTCCCAGCTAGATCCTGTTAGGATCTGCTCACGTTTTGTATTATGTAATACCAAATTGGGAGATTTTTTCCTTTTTTTTTTTTTTTTGAGACAGGGTCTCTATGTAGCTCTGGGTCCCCTTGAACTTTCGGTCTTCTGGCCTCCACCTTCCATGCGTCAGGATTGCAGGTGCATGCACCACGCCCAGTTTCCGCCGGAGATGGAGCCCTTGGTTCTACGTGTGCTGTTGTGCGAACACTTCTCCACCTGGGTCGCATCCCAGCCCCGTGGCACTCCTCCCAAGTCAATTCTCTCCTCAGTGGTGCCCTTCAAGGTCGCCTTCTAACTTTATTTTGACATTATTTAATTTGCGTATGTGTGACTTGTTCAGCCAGGTTCTCCTCCGTGAAAAGCATTCCTCCTGAAGTTCTAAGACAGGCGTACTTCCAGGCACTCTACCTAGCGAAAACTCAGGGTGAGCTTTAGCCCAGGAGTTCTAGTATGCTGAGCCAATAATTTCAGTAGCAAAGCCCCATTGTAGTCATTAAATCCTGTCCCAAAGAGCAGCGGAGACCAGAAGGTAAACAGCCCAAACTCTTTGCCACTTAATTTTTATAATCTTGTGTCTGTATTTTTTAAGAGGCAATAAATCCACTTACTACTCATTCACATTAAAATGAAAATGTTCATAAAAGCTGTTTAATGCTCAAGAAATCTTCATGAGCCTTTTAGAAAGACCCTTTTGACACCGGTCCATTTTCTGTTTAAAATGCAGAGCTGAGTTTTCGGAAGAATTAACTCTTGAGAGGCAAAATGGTTCAAGCAGGGCCGTCAGAAAAGCCATGTTTGGAAAGAAGAAAGAGTTTCCACAATTGCAGTATTGGCTAAGGGCCGGTCAGTGAAGGGAGTGTGGCCTGGTATTTTGTGGCCTCTTAAGTGTCTACGCACAATCTCCCAGCGTGGTTCAGGTGCACACTGAAAGGTAGATTTGCCCCCAAAGCAAAGTAGATTTCTAGTAGGGGCTTTTTTTTTTTCCTTTTAGCATGTGCTTAAACTTTTTTTTTTTTAACCAACTTGGCCTTTTTGCTCCCTGTGGCCTTTTTCAGCTGCTCTTTCATACCATTGATAAGCGTCACGCAGAATTATTAAACTTGAGGTTATGTGTTTGGTTTTAAGGTCCTTCCGGGATATTAGCCACCTCAGAGTCCAAATCCATGCCAGTGTTGGGTTCTGTATCCAGTGTAACAAAAACAGCCTTGAACAAGAAAACTCTGGAGGCAGAATTCAACAGCCCGTGCCCCCTAACACCTGAGCCAGGTGAAGGGCCCCGTAAAATGGAAGGATGCGCGAATTCCAAGGTTACGTTTCAGTAAGTAACAACGCTCTTTATTAAGTAGAACGTAGATGCATCTGTAATGACTAACAATGCATTTCTTTGATCTGTTGCTCTTCAGAAAGGCTTCGGTGTAGCCTGACAATCCCCCTTCCCTTCCCTCTCCTTTGAGCCAGCCAGCTTCTGCTTCTAGGCCCCCAAATTTCCTTCTGCTCCAAAGTAAACACCATACCCGCCAAACTGGCTACCCATTGGGTTCTCTTCCTACCCCAAGAACTGAGCTGGCTGATGCTTCTGCCCCAGAAGACACCTGTCCTTTAGGCTGTCACTCTTAAACGGGCCCCCTAACCTGAAGGAGGTACCGGATCTCTCCGACTCCTTTGGAGCCTGCGTTGGCATAGCCTCGTTTTTGTTTGTTTGTTTGTTTGTTTTTTGTTGTTGTTGTCTTGTTTTGTTTTTCTTTTGCTGGCACTTGGGAAATGTGCCTTCGTCCTTTTCTTTCCAGAGACTGACTGTGCCATGTTCAGGGTTATCTATAGAGACCAACTTCCAAGTGGCACCTTTGTCAGGGTTCGCCCTGCTATTGACCATGTTCCAGGCCAGTGTTAGCAGAGGATCAATTTGTTTTATAACAATGGCAGGCTCCGTCTGGAATTAGTCTACACTCGCGCACCAATTCTCTTGCCAGGATGTCAGCTAGATTGTCACCTAATGAAAAGGAAGCGGTGAGGCCAATCAGATCAGCCGAATCTTGTAATCACAGTTAATTAAACCTCTGATTTCCTGCTCTGTCAAGAGAGAAAGAGCCCCCTCCTTTGTAGTTTTAGCTGTCTTAGCTGAAAAGGTGAAACCTGGACAAATGAAGTTCAAATTCAATTTAGATCTATTTTTGCCAAGTGGTATTTTCCTCCCCTCGTGCACTTCTCTCGCTGGGGCTCTTCAGAGTCCCCCATCTCCTCTGGGACAAATGGCCTTCTTTGCCGATTTACAGTCTTCTCTAATTTTGTGGCAGTTTTTTTAAAAGCGTGTCTTCTCACAGTCCTGTTTGCCTTTCTTTACCGGGAGCTGTTTGCACGGCTCGCAGAAAGATGATCCATATTCATTTTTTGCCCTTGCTATTAAGTTTGTTTAACACCTAATTTGACATCAGCAATCTGGCAGCATTTGAACCAATATCCAGACACAAAAGCAATTTGGCAGAGACAAGTTAGTTTCTGAGAAATGCTTCAGTATATGTGTATAGATTTTTCCCCCCTCTTCACCGTTTTGCACAGATAATCTTAATCAGAAAATACAGCCACTCCTTCCTCCTTTTGTCTGCCTTTTATTCTCCAAAAGTAAGTGGAAATTACATTTCCAAGAAAGGAAATGAAATAATTGTAGGCCCAGGGTCTGCAAAATGTGTGCTGAATTGACATTGAAAAGGATCAGTGTGTTGACAGAGAGATGTGAGATGCCAGGAAGGCCGACGTGGAACTCAATTTATTTCTCATCTTGCTTGTTCAATGGCTGCTTAAGAGACACGTTGCAACTTAATTTATCTACTTAAAGCACTAATCTAAGTATTATGTGTGGCTGTATTAACTTTTATACTTTGTAACCCAATGCTCGTGTCTTCCGTTCTTGGGTTTTTCAGCTGAGATAACCAGTGCTGTGTATTTTCCGCTTTCACAGTCGCTTGTAAAGGAAGAGTGCCCTTTTCTCAAACCCCGCTGCTTCAGCACAGCTAGACCAAACAAGTTTGAGAATTCTGTGCGTATGCAGGCCAATTATTCACATTCCTCCCCTTACGTTTTAACTTGGCTTTGAAACAACTGACAGGCTTAGCTGAGGGTTCTACAGGTGAAAACCCATGTTATCAGCCAGTAACCAAGGGACTGTTAGGAACCAGAGAGTTTTATTTTCAGGGCTTTTGGGGGGCTTTGACTTATAAGTCCATTCAGTTATGCTAACCACTGTGTGGTTGTGACCACCTTGCCCTACCTCATAGTCTTGAGCAAGTGGGACACTTAGAGATGAGATGTGTGTGCGTGTGTGTGCGTGCGTGCGTGTGTGTGTGTGTGTGTGTGTGTGTGTGTGTGTGAGTTCAGTATGTACATGCCATAGTGTGTGTGGAGGTCAGACAACAAGCTCAGATGTCAGTCTTCACCTTCCACCTCGTTTGAGGTGGGCTCTCTCTCGTTCCCTGTTGCATACACCAGGCTGACTGGGCTGTAAGTATCAAGGGATTCTCCCTTGTCCACCTCGAGCAAGCACAGAATGCTGGCATTGCAGACGATGCCCACACAGAGCCCAGCTTTCCAGAGGCTATGGGCAGCCAAACCTGGCCTCTCGTGCTAATGCAACAAGCCTTTTACCCAGCCCTGCACTGTTTTTAAATAGACTTTTTAGGTTAGAATTTGGAATGGTGGCTCTCGTTGTGACATTTTTTTCCTACATATGCGTCACTGCACTTCCTCCTGTTATTTAACATGTTTTTGCACTCTAGTAACTGAATTGTTTGCATCTAGCTCAGTACTGTACATCTACTCCACTATCAAGATTAAGTCAACAGACTCCACAGTGCACAGGTGTTGCAGAAAGCTCCAGCCATGCTTGTCCAATCGGCTCGGTGGGGCTGGAGTGTTGGCTAACTTACCAATGGGTAAGTTAGAATGCAGAAGCAGATGATAAGGGATTTCTGCACAGAAAAACTAAAAACCTTCAAGCCACCCCTGCAAAGTGTAATCAACATGTGTGGAATTCAGACAGTCAAATAACTCTTGTCTAAAAGTTATAAAATTAGGCATCTATTAAGTTGAGCCTATCAAGAAAATAAGAGTTAGTCTCAATCTTTAATTGCAAGGATTTATTAAAACGAATGACACTAACACATACAAAGTGAGGGGTTTAAGGGGAAAAAATAAAAGGAAAGAAAAGGATAACCAGAGCTTGGAGGAGTCTAATTTATTCTGCTTCTATTCTAATGATAGCAGAGAAAACAAAGGAAGGAAGGAAGGAAGGAAGGAAGGAAGGAAGGAAGGAAGGAAGGGAAAATCTCTGTTCTTGTTTATAATGGACTATTTCTATCTACTTCTGTTGACTTGAATCTCATAGTGACTTTGACTTTCATGATCTTGAATGTCTGTAACTGGGTTAAGAATTATTCTGGAACCTCCCTTTATGCTAAGAGGTAAAGAGCTGACTCAGCAAACGCAAGTGTCTTTTACTTCTGTGCTCTTTTCTGCTGACACAATTAAGTGGAGTACGCTCCCTTGACTCAAGCCAGTCAACCAGTGGGGTGTTCAGTACCAAAGGGAAAAATAAAGTTCTACGTTATAGAATTGTGTAAAGAAGCTATCTTCTGGACAGCTATAATACCTCAAAATAGGCTAACCAAGTGCTATAAGGTTGGAAAACCCAAGCTGCCAGGTTTTGCCTCTGCTTTGTTCTCAGTTTAAGCCTGAAAACAGCAGAGATTGGTAAGCAAACTTGATCATTTTCCTAATTCAGTCCTACACCTGTCTGTGGTGGCAAAGACCACCCTGTCATTTCCGAGACCTAAGCTCTGAGTCAGTCGACGGTCTTTGATCTACCTCCTTACTGGTCATTAATCTATGACGTAAGTTTCCTCAGAAGTAAATTGAGTGCAGTATCACCTACTTTGTAGGGCTGGCATGTAGACTAGGTAGCTTATGGAATGTATTTGAATTCATTTCTTTCTGCGTTATATTAAAATTCTCTTGCTTGGATAATAATCAAGGCCAAAAGTGAAACAGGAAACTAAGTTTGTAGACTTTGGCTGGGCAGGTAATGTTGGCCAAGTCATTTAATCTCTCTAGGTTTAACTTCTTTTTATGTTTCTCCTAAATTAAACTTGAAGTCAGTATATTAGACATGCCCCTGAATCTTCTCCATCTCTAAGACCTCAGTAATCCCTAACAAACATCACCACTTGGAAAATGTTCACCTTTAAGAAAGGAACAAACAATATGAGCCTATTTTCTAGCCATGACATGCTTTATAATACATTATAGATTTGTTCTAAAACACAAACCCAGAGAGATAAAATATTGTTTTTTTTTTAAACACTGCATCAGAACTTACGCATCCAAATGAAAATGATTCGTCTTTTCTGGTAATACTAGGGTTTCATGTACTCGGCTCAGCCCATCACTACTATCCCAGATGCTTTTAGATCCGTTTGGTTTAGAGATTTCCTGGCCACAGAGGAAGGAACTGGCAGGCTTTCCTGTTTATTTCAGGTTGGAGAAAGGAGGTGAGAAGCAGTAAGGGAAGTAATGTCAGTAGCATCATCAACAACAATAACAACAACAAAATATCCATTTTAATTACTGCTATACGTTCAACTTGTGTTGCCAAGACTTTGGCTTTGGCATTGGGTCCAGGCTTTCTAAATAACCACTGTCTGTACACTAGTGCTGCTGTGCGCATTTTTTTTTGTCCAACCACATGTATAGGAGAGACAGCACACATTTTAACTCTGTGCAAACAAAATGGGTAAATCCCATGTACTCGATGGATACACATGCACTGAGCTAGAAAAGCATTGCTTTGGGGAAAAGCCCAGACCACACTCTGTCACGTGTGTGCCTTAGCTAATACTTCCTCTCATCAGCAGGTATTCACATTCAAATAAATACACCGAGAGGAATACGCCCAAACCTTAGTAGGGAGGGTGTGTGTGTGGACAGGTGGAGACCATGGGTAGTGAAACAATTTTCCAGTTTTGGGGGCTGGGGATTCTGGGGTTTGCTTCCATAACCTTTAGTCATTGGTATTGTTTCTCACCAACATTCAAGCCAGATAATTTTCCTGTCGTCTTTTAATCATCCCAAACCTACAGAATGGGCATTATTCCCATCTTGTATGTGAGAAAACAGAGGCCCATGGAGTGCATATATCACCTGAAATTACGCTTCTGATTAATAGCTGGTCAGATGACCTAACTGTACATCCTTTCTGCAAAGCGCATCCGTCTCAAGCCCCGAGAGACCGCACGTGGTGTGTTAAGAGCTTAGGGGAGAGAGGGGACT